GATCGACTTCATCACCCGTGCCCGGATCTGGTTTTGAGGCATCGCCGGCAGCAGCCCAGCCGGCAGCGGCCGCGGCCGCGGCGCGCTGGCGCTTGGCCCGGTGCTTACGCGCTTGCTGCTCAGTGCTGTCAAGGGACAGCCACGTGGATTAACGCACACATGTGGAGGGGCGGAGAAGGAGCAGAAGCATGGATCGGAGGGTATGGGCCGGAGGGAAAGGCTTTATTCACTCCCCAGCTCAAGGGGAGTGAATATCAGCTTTCTAATTCTTCGGTCTCTCTCTCTCTCTTATATAAACCGCCTGATTCCCACCGCCATCTAAAGGCTCTACACCATGCATGGATCATTCCAGGGCCCGCATGGATCATCCCATCGCGACTAGATCTGTCCTTTCTTTCTTCTTTTCCCTGTCTCGTTTAACCCGCCGGGCTGCACGCAGCGCTCCGCCTCAACAATGCTGTCGACCTGTTTTCCTAGGCCTAGCTGCCCCACATCCTTGTTGGGGTCCTGTGTATTCTCAAAACCTCCCCACCCGCCTAGTTGACCCCCACTCCTTGCATGTAAAGCATATACATGCATTACACACAATCCCACCTAGATCTCCCACCTAGACACATAGTGCACAGATATACACATACGTACATGCGTACACCCCGCTCCTCACGTACGTACCTGCCGCCACAACCACCGTCCACTCCCTCCCGTTCTGCCTCTGGTTCCTCCTTAATGCGCGCGCCCCCGCCAGCCCCCGCTGCAGCCGCTCCCGGTAAGCCCGACGTGGACGGACTCGCGCCTCTGCTGTCTGACGGCGGTTCATAGAAGCTCACCGACTTGCGCTTGCGCACGTCCTTGCCGTCCACCACCCCGTTCGCATGGCCGGAAACGAGTACCACTCCGGATGCACCCGGGGCCGCAGCTGGCGGCGGCGGCGGCAACGCAAGCGCCGGCGCAACTGCTTCCTGGTCTTCAGAGCCCGGCGTTGATCCGCGCCGCGCACGGATCAGCTCGTCATCAGAGTCCGAGTCCGATTCTGAGGGGGTTTCGGCCACCATGCAATGCGCGTCAGGGCGGTTCGGGTTCAAGGGGGGGTTCAAAAGGGGAGGGGGGGATATGAGCAATAAGCTGACGGGGTTGGGGCGAACAGTTCGGTCGAAAGAACGACAGGGGACTAAAGGGATACCAACACGAGCAAGATGTTGCAAGGCCGAGAGCCCGGGCGGGAGAAGCCATGGCCAAAACCTCCACGATCAGCTATTGAATCAATAGGACCAAACGGACCAAAGGTTTGCAAGTATGTGTTTCGTACATTGAGCGTCTACTCACGCCCCGCCTCCTCATGCCCACCAGCGTCCCGTGCAATGATCCATCCAGCAACTCCGCTATGTTCTGCGGCCTACCCCAGCACAAAGCCCAACCCCAGCCATATACAAGCCCGCTGCCGCAGCTGCAGCCGCGGCCGCAGCCTCAGCCGCCCGTCGCACCTGCCGCCGCCGTCAGGTTTGCCGCCAGCATCTTTGAGAACTTCTCCGTCTGCCCCACGATGAGGTCCAGATGCCGGTCCATGACGGCCTTCTTCCTTGCCTCAACCTGCAGTGCCACCTTGGTAGCAACCACGCGACGGGCCTTGGTCCAGAAATTGGCGACCTGAGGCGTATGTGTCAACACCGGCGTCAGGGGAGCAGCGGCAGCGGCGGGGAGCATTAGCGTGGGCGCGGGTGAAAGCATTTTAATACATGGGAAGTACTAGCGGGGGTGGAGCAGCATAAGCACAAGCATTTGTGGCGGCAGCGCGGGGCAAGCAGCACCACTGGCCGGCGAAGCCCCCAGGGTGTCGAGGAACGAACCATCAGGGACTTGCGCAAATCGTGAGGCAACAACCTCGGCTCTCCGGCGACAAGCGCGGAATTCGGCAGGGTGAAAAAACGCTGGAAATCCTTCAGTCACGAAGCCAACCTGCTGCCACACCACCACCACCACCACGATCACCACCACCACCGCGATCACCAGCAGCAGTAACAACAGATGGGGTTTGACCCCGCCATCTCCGCCATCTTCCCTCATTGCGCCCGCGTGAGTCCACATCTGAGCCCAGGTCGTCTCTGGTTGCCCCATTTCCCAAGACATCCAGCATACTCCGAGCCGCACCTGCTGCGCAATGGCTTTAGCCGTCTTGCGCTGCGTCGCCTCCTCCTGCTGCTGCCGGTGCACGTGGCGGTTCTCCAGCGACAAGTTGGACTTAACGGCATGGGAGGCCCATCGTTTGGCTTGCTTCAGCTTCCAAACGCGCTCCCTGCACAGCCGCACAGCCGCGCGCGCGCGCGCGCCAGGGAACAGCGTATTAAGGTGTGGGGTTTCCATTTACATACATGGCGGGTTGAAGAGGACGATGGCGCAGAGTAGGGTGGGTGCGTCTTAGGATTTGGAGTAAACAGCCGCAGTCCGCAGCAAACATAAATAGGATTGTAGGGGCAAGCCCAAGTGGAACAGGGATTTAGGGAAAGACACATCGCTTGTCATTACTGGGTATTGAGGTTAAGCCCACGTCTGGTTTCACGTGGTTTTAACGCCAAGGAGGACGTCAGCACGACCAGCAGCCTAAACCACAGCCAGGGCTGGCTGCAGCACCATCAACTCCACCGGCCGGGAGGGCAGCGGCTTACTTCATGAACTCCTTCGCAAGCCATTCCATCTCCTCCAGCACGTGATCCCAGTGGGTCTTGTTGCGCTTGAGGTCGTACGGCGGCGGCGCCGCTAGCGCCGCACGCGCGCGGCGCTCCTTTGCCTGCGCAAGCACAAACTCCTCGTACGTCCGCTCGTACTTGCACGGTTTCGCAGGCGAGGGCGACGCCGACGGGCTGTCCGCGCCAGTGCCGTCAGCATCGCCGCTGCCGCCTTCCGGCCGCCGGTCCGGCGGCGGCGTTGGCGGTGCGGGGGGATCAATGGCCAAACCCGCGGCTCGTGCCATATCGCGGCAGATCCGGCGATAACGCTCGTTGGAAGGACCGGAACCAGAGCCGGCTGGGATAGCAGGGCTGGCGCTGCCAAGCCCCCGACCGCGGCCGCGGCCCCGGCCTCGACCCCGGCCGCGGCCCCGACCAGTGCCCTCCGTCCCCGGCGCAAAGCTGACGCTGCCGCCACCGCCGTCGCCACCAGGACCCCGGCCTCGACCACGGCCGCGGCCTCGACCCCGCCCCCGTCCCCTGCGACCCTCCCCGGCACCATCCCGGCCGCCACTCTGGGCTTTACGCCCTCCGCCATAGTCTTCATCATCCTCATCGTCGCTATCATCGTCGCTTTCCGGCGGCTCCGCCTCCTCCTCATACTCCGCGGCGGCGGCGGCTACGGCTCCGCCGCGGCCGCTCCCACTGCCACCATGTGTCACCACCACGGGCGGCATCATCCCGCCGCCGTCGCTATCCTCCTCATCGTCGTCGCCTTCGCCGCTGATGGCAGCGGCACCGACGTCAAAGTCCTCATCCGAGTCTGATCCCAGATCTCCGTCTTGGAGCTCGCCCTCCTCCCCGAGCAGCTCCGAATCCAGGTCATCGGCGTCCCCCCCGCGGCTGCGGCCGCGCCGCATCGCGGCCACGTCAACGGGGTGGGGTTAGCCACGCCCTCGGAAGGGCTTGATAGGTGACGACCCAACTGGGTCGTTGCCCCGACCGGCCAAGCTAGGCGCCCGGCTAGGAGCACAGCTCACGCAGGGCCCAGGGCGCGCACCCTAGCCCTCGTGGATAGGCTTCCTCCCCTTCCTCCCGCCCTTGAAGATTCGTCCCCCTCTTAATTCTATGGGTTTGAATGTTTCAAAGGGAAAACGGGGCACGGGGACATTAATACATGCTGGGCGCTGTTGTTAGTTACGTGGATGCGTGCCAACGGTGGTCATGGAAAACAGAGGTTGATACTAGGGGCAGAGGAACTGAGGACTGATTGGTTATCCATATGAGCGCCGCTTACGAGGCTGAGCCGTTGCAGGCTTGACTGCAGGCCTGGGATGACAGTGAGGGCATTGACGCCCGTGCGACATTGGTCATTGGGCAGCGCCGCTAGGTTAGTTATACGAAATCCCAACCGAGGTATGTCTGAAACGGTGCGGTCAGAGGGCTATTCAAGTCCGCAAAGCCCCAAAGCATGTGGTAGTCTGGGAGGGGTTTGCTCTTACTAGGGGGACGACACCGGGTGGGTGGGTGCAGAGCACCTCAAGGTGACTGGCGGCAGTGTGCTCTGCGGGCTAGGGCGTACTGCTGCTGGTGGGGACGGGGGCCAGATATATGAAGCCTGTCGCCAAAGGGGTGGGCTGACGTGCGCACAACGCAGTTCAATCAGCAAAAGGAATCGACACCGCGAGCCAGCTCTTGCCACCTTATCGCAAACTGTGTGACGGTGTGCACACCACTCCTAAGCACACCGCTTCTGAACGTTTACTGTGCAAGTGGAGCCGCTCTGGCAAGACGACGTAACCTTGGCATGGCTTTCAAAGGCGCGCACGAACAGCAGCCTCACCGATTACGCCGATATCCTCGCAAGCAAGCCAGATCTCTAGCAAGTTATGCCCTTGGAGGGGTTTCTCGTCACAACCTGGCTTGACGCCGGCTGAAGTCCTGGCAAAACAGCAGCTCCGATGTAAATTGGATGTATTATTATCGCAGGTTTTGATTAGTTATCTTCGTTCATCAACGGGCCATGGGGGAGGTCAACCTCTCAGATTGCAAGGTGGTAAGTAAGCGATGGCTACCAGCACAGTGCATCTCAAAAGGTTGTCAACGGAGTCGGTGAGAAACACGCAACTCGGCTTCCTAGCCAACGGAAGAGTTGCCCGTAACAAAATTCTGTTGGCCGCCGTACTTTTACCCCGGTCACTCACTATACCTGCGTTTATCATTACTGCGAAGTATCAAAGCCATCAGAAAATTAACTTGCGAGAATAATGCGGCCTTGATATGAATAATTAATGCGACGGCTGGGCAGCTGGGGCAGGCGCGGTCGACATGCCCGCAACAATGTCTGTAAGTAGTCGACTTCTTAGCCTCGCAGCGAGCGAAGAGCTCCAAGCTAAAGGCCGGCCGCCACGCACGAAGCGCTATGGCGCGAAGTTTGCAACGGGGTTCCTCGAGTTCTACAGGCAGTCTGAAATGGCGGACTGCACGGTGAGCTCGCGTCGCAGTCCTGGGACGATATGGGCTCGGCTGGTGGTTCTTTCGCGACTCAACGCCTTACCGGAATCCCCTCATCAGCTTATCTTCGCGTGCAGCTCCTTGGCCATCCCCCGCATCATAAGTGCATTAAAGATATGTGGACTGATATTTATGGGTAATTGCACCGATCCAAGCTTTTAGGCGTGAGCCAACAACCAGTTACGGACTGCGTCGCTTCCTTTCCCCGCCCTACCCTAGTCCCTACAGATTACCCTTATAGGCTTGGCCTTCACCATGCTTTCATCTCAGCCTGACAGCATACAGATAACTCACCCTCGGCACTCACCTCGCAGTTTTAATTGAAACAACTGACATTTTGCAACTGATACGATCGACTCTTGCAAAACCCCACCTAACGTCCCGCGCGCACCTGATTTTCACGCGGTGCCAGGTGGTTGGTCCTGATGGCCGCGAGTACCAGCTGCACGGGCTCTTGCTTGCCTATCATAGTAAGTACGATTTTATTGCAGTATGGCAATTCGCCGAGCGGAAGGTCGAGGTGCATCAGCTTTAATGGCCGCGCGTTGGGGTTTTGTCCGTCCGTTGGGAAGGTATTTCCACGGCAACACCATAAAAGTACGAAGTCGGAGACCAGTTGGCAACTGTCAAGATTGGCCGTTCGCATTTGGGGCTGGGAATATGCTTTTTGCTGGTGACCCTCCACTCCACGCTCTGCACGTGCACGGCTCTTTCGCGCCACCCTCGGCATTAAGCCGTCCATTAGCAGAAGAATGCTGCTGTAACGGCTCGGCTAATGTGGGGCGGGAAGCTGGCCCACCGGAAATTTTGGAAGGATAGTTTTGACCTCGACCTTGACCTAAGCCTTTTCGCGGTGCGTCAAGGAAGGACTGCGTAATGCAGAGTGGCTCTTATAGCTGTGGGGGAAAGGACTTTTCCCCCTCATCTAGAGCGGAACATCTAGCTGCACGCATGGGCACGGGATTCCCCCTTGACCCAAATCGATGTGGGCAGAAGCAGCAGCACCAGCAGCGGCGGTGGCGGCAAAGACGGAAGCAGCACAAGAACGGGAGCAGCAGTAGCAGTAGCACCAGCAGGGACAGCAGCTGGAGACACAAGTGCTCATGTTGGCGCAGAGCAATGCTGGGCAGGATAGAGGAATGGGAACGAGAATAGGGCTGAGGTTGTAGTGACAATGTGATTCCATTTTCTAGGCTTGCAGATGAGGCAACTGGAAATCGGCGAACTATTCTTTCCTTCACAATCGATACACAAACGTCAACAGGACATTCTTGCATCTCTCAGTTCGATGTTGCGTAGCGGCAGCAGCAGCAGCAGTAGAAGCAGCAGCCATGATAATGGCACTCGCAGCTATTACAAATTGATAGCAATGCCACCATGAAACCCCCCGCTGTGATGAATTCGGTGTTTTTTGACCTCTGGGGGCCCCAGTGGCGGTGGCAGCGGCGGCGGAGTGCTACTCGCCAACGGCGCCTTCCGCACTGTTCACTTGGTTGGGCACTGGGCGGGTGGTGTTGTGATGATGACGTCGATGATGATGGTGGTGTGACGATGATGGTGGTGTCATGACGATGATGAGGATGGTAATGGTGAGAATGGTGATGGTGGGGTAAGGATGGTGATGGTGAGGATGATGTGAAGCTGCGTCGGCCACACGTGTGACACACGGTATATGACAGCAGCATTAACTGCTACCGCTCCTAGAGTTACCACCGCGGCCGCTGGTCTTACTACCGGCCACCATGCAGCAGCAGCAGCTGCTGCTGCCCTGCCGTACAGCCAGGCAGTCTGTTGTGGATCCATCTTGTACTGGATTTGCGTGGCCTTTTCCCCTCCCTGGAGGGTTCCCTCCCTTCTTCTGCAGGGTCGACCTCCCTGGAGGAGAGGGGACTACTGCGGGCTGCCCGTGCGATAGTGTTGTAGTTGTTGTTTTCGTACCCATGAGAAAGTGAGCTGTTGTAGAGTTGTTGTAGAGTTGTTGTAGGATTAGGATTAGGGGGAGGGGTTGCGGAGTCGGGGAGTATGGTAGGCGCAAGGAGAACGGCTAGGCGGGTATGTGCATGTGGAGCAATCTCCAGCGAAGCCACCTGACCTCGTCCCGCACACGGTCAGGTACTACCATTTCCCCAAGCACCTCACCTCGTCTCGACACCAAAATACTGCGCAACCCATTTTTTTTCCATCCGTTGACCGTTGACGTGCGCACAGGTGAGTTCTTCCGGCGCGCTCTGTCTTCGGAGTTTAAGGAGGGCCAGGCGCGGCGGATTGTGTTGCGGTTCGAGGACTCGGGCAACACTTGGTCCGCCCTCATAGAGTATTTTTACACGGAGGTGAGCAACAGACAGACAGGCAGACACACGGAGTCAAACATTAAAAACAATTTAATACAGACGGGCCGACAGGTAGGCATACAGACAGATAGACAGACAGACAGAGGTTTTCATGCCTAGCAGGACACTGCAGGCCAAACCGTGACAGACCAAACTGCGCTTAAACTGCCGCCCAGCTGCTTACGTTGTCAACTGTCACGATGCCCGGTTCACATACCCCACCAGCGCCCCACACACCCAGTTCTGAGCTACGGCTCACACCCCCGCGCGCCCCTCCCCCCCTCCCTCCCTCCCTCCCTCCCTTCCCTAGATGCTGTGGACGCACTGGAGTTGTTTCTTTGACTCTTGAAATTGACTCCCCAGCCGTTCAGGGCATTGCAAAAGATTTCCTTGTGTGTGTGCAATTTTGCAAATGATTCCTCATCCGCCCCCATCCGCCCCCATCCGCCCCCATCCGCTTTCAGGAAATCTTGTTGACGGACGCCAACGTGTTGGCGCTCTTTGCCGCGTCCAGAGAGCTTATGATCCCCGCCATCCAGGTAGGGCCTATGGCCTCTTAAAAGACGCCCATACCACGTGCTCTAGTACGGCAGTCGTACGGCATCCCTCATCCTCCTTTTTCCTATTTTTCTGCCATATATACATATGTTATCGCACCCCACCCGCCGTCTTCCCGCATCCAGGACTTTTGCGCGGACTTTGCCCAGAGCTCCCTGGACTCATCCAACGCCATTCAGTTTCTGTCTCAGGCGGTGCAGTACAACTGCGACCAGTTCAGATCCAGCTGCGTGGCTCTGGTGGCGCAGTCCTTCAACACGTGCTGCTTTAAGCCCACGGACGGCCTGCCCGTGGAGGTGAGAGGAGAGGAGAGGGGGGAGAAGAGGGTTTCACGGGGTTGTTCGGTTGTTTTTTAAACAAACGAACACACCGGCTGAGTACAGTGTGAATACACACATATATAAGCGAAACCCCGGATGCGAAAACCTGCGCGCGCGAAAAATGCGAAGGTGCTGTGTGTGGGGGGGGGGAGGGAAGGGGGGGGAGGTAGGGGGTGGCAGGTGTGCGCGCAACGTGAGGGAAAGCTTTACCCGCAACGACGACCCAACCCGCCTCTCTTTCTCACCTTCCTAAATTGATTATGGGGGGGGACTGTCGAGGATTTGTGCAATTTGCACATGTCATGTAGCAGCCAAACATTTATAATACACACATATAAATGTATTTATGCACGTATGCATGAAAAAATCCCTACCTACCACTCGTCCCCCCACCCGCCCCTCCAACCCCTAGGTAATGTTGGAGATTCTTGACCACCCGCAGCTGTACGTCCAGACGGAGGAGCAGGTGGGCGGGCCGTATATTTGTGTGTGTGCGTGTGTGTGTGTGTGTGTGTGTGTGTGTGTGCGTGTGTGTGTCTGCATGTGTCTTTTGCTGTGTCTGAATGTCAAAGAGCGAACGACCTATCTGTCTGTCTGTCTGTCTGTCTGTCTCGGGTGTAGCTGGGTAGATGTGTTATAAGATCTACGCCTCCGCAACGGACACATCGATGTGCGTCCGATCGCAGTATCGAATCCAACCCACGTCCAAGTCAGCAACCGCACCCGACGCAAAACCCAACCCGCACACAGGTTCTCCTGTTCGTCCAAAACTACGTCCGGCGTCACCAACTCGACGCCGACACCATCCGCGCGCTTTACCGTACAGTACGACTGCCGTTCCTTTCCAACGAGCGCCTCGCCGCCCTGACGCTCGGCAGCGTTTGCGGCGATGGTGGAATCCGCGGATTGGGTAAAGGCGGCGACGGAACGGATGGCCGAGTGGACGCGTCCGGCGTCGTTGTCGCCGTCGCCGCCGGCGGACCCATGGGTCAGGGCCCTCCCAAGGACCTCTTGCTTGCCGCGATGGCCCAGCGGCTTTGTTGGATTGACCATCCGGAAAGGCTGCCGCCGGCGGCTGGCGGCGGCGTCGGCGGCGGAGGACTTGGCGGCGGCTCGGCCCCAGGCGACTCGAGTGACAGCGGTGGCGGGGGGAGCGGGAACGGTACCGGTACGGGTACCGGCGCAAGCAGGATGTTAGGCGGATTGCTGGGATTTGCAAATGGGGCCAGCGATATCAACGGGGACATGGCTGGGGTGACGGCGCCGCGGAAGACGTACTGCTGTTCGATAGAGTACGGCCTTCCTGGTGGCAGCGAGTACGTGTCAATACCGATGGAGGCGGTGTGGGACGACCTGGCCGCCAACCTGACGGTCCGCGTGTCAGGTGGGCGGCGACTGTGATGCGTGTTATGTACAGAGGTGTATGAAGTGCGAGGTAGGAGGGTGCTTATGGGCGATCTGGCAGCCCTTGAGCCCTCGGCTCGTGTCAGGCCCGATGGCGTTTTGCAGGTACGGGGAACGCACCCCCACGACCATGTTGCACACACAGCACATATATATATATATATATATATATGTATAAACACACACACATATATATATATACCATGACATGGTGGAAAAGGAAATGATTTAGAAGGCAGGTGGTATTCCTTTCCGTGTGTGTGGGAGAGTGAATGTGTGTGTGTACAAATATATATATATATATATAATATATATATATATACATACATATATATACATATACATATACATATACATATATATATACATATACATATACGATACATGAAATTCCCTCTTCACAACCCCTCGGCCCCTTTACCCGCCATATGCCCCCCACGTACGTACCCACACGAAGGCGAGACAGAGGGGGATCCGGACTCCATCCTCCGCACGCTCGATGATCCCGCCTCCTGGTTCAATGTGACGGGTGATGACCCCCTGCGCCCCGTGTGGGTGGAGGTGGTTTTCCCGCCGCACATGCGAGTGGTGGAGCTGACCAAATACACGTTTTCACATGGCATGAATATGTCGGCACATATGTTTCCGTACGGCATCAGTGACTCATCCTGGTTTCAAATGAAGGTACGGCAATCGAGAGGGAACGCGCTGTACTACGCGTAGTACGTGCCGTATATGCTTAGGGTTATACCCCGCGTACTCAGGTTGATGATGATGATGATGATGGTCTTCTTATTCTCTTGTTTGCATGCAAAAACAACACAGGAGAAAGCATGTGGAGTGGAACAGTATACAATAAAGGAAGGGACCTGTGTTTAAATGCGGGGTTTTTGTTACCCTAAAGTTCCCCTTGAGGGGATGAACCAGCGGGAAAGGCTTCACCTAATCCCTTTCTTTTTCGGCCTTTTGAGACCTTTTCCCGGATTGTTGTGCAAGTGGAAATTGTACTGTGTGCAGGCAAGTACGCTAGTGTGTACTTTGTCCTTTGACCGCTTTCACCTTTTTTTTACCCGTTTCTACCCCTTACCAGCCTTTTTATCCCCCCCCTCCGTTTTTCCCCCTTACCAGCCTTTTTATCCCCCCCCTCCCTCTTTCTACCCCTTACCAGCCTTTTTATCCCCCCCCCTCCCTTTTTCCCCCTTACCAGCCTTTTTATCCCCCCCCTCCCTTTTTCCCCCTTACCAGCCTTTTTATCCCCCCCCTCCCTCTTTCTACCCCTTACCAGCCTTTTTATCCCCCCCCTCCCTCTTTTCCCCCTTACCAGCCTTTTTATCCCCCCCCTCCGTTTTTCTACCCCTTACCAGCCTTTTTATCCCCCCCCTCCCTCTTTCTACCCCTTACCAGCCTTTTTATCCCCCCCCTCCGTTTTTCCCCCTTACCAGCCTTTTTATCCCCCCCTCCCTCTTTCTACCCCTTACCAGCCTTTTTATCCCCCCCCCTCCCTCTTTCTACCCCTTACCAGCCTTTTTATCCCCCCCCTCCCTCTTTCTCCCCCCCAGGGTATGTGCACGCAGGTCAGTCCGGGAGACGATGACCCCTTCACTCAGCTGCGGACCCAGGACTCCTGCCAACAACACACAGAGTTCGTTGTGACGGTTGACCCAGCATGCGCCAAACAGGTCGTGTGGCGCCGACTCCGCATCGTGGCGGGCGAGGACGGCTCTCAGCAAGTCCGGCTGAGCATCCGTCGTCTGAAGCTGTATGGCCGTGTGGAGGTCAGCCTGCTGCGAGAGCCGGACGGCCGGGACGTGGTGGCGGCGTGGCGGCGGCGCAAGGAGGCGGTTAGCAGCAATCGCCAGTTCAGTGCCATGGGGCTGCGGGGGCTGTCTGCGAAACGACTGGACCTCTGTTGATGATGCTGCTGATGGTGTTGGTGCTCCAGTTGGTGGTGGTGGAGGTGGTGGTGGTGTTCTCTTGAAACGATTTGGGTTATGACTAAAAAGGTGCTGAAGGGGGTTCCAAGGGATGTGGTGGCCAAGGTGGACATCGCGGGAGGGAAAGGCAGCACCAAGGCGTGGGATAGAAGGCCGTGCGATGCTGGAGGGCTGCCGCAAGGCCTGGAGGGCAGTCGTCGCAAGTGAGGAGTATGACGGTAAATGACGGCGCGCGTGTGTGTGCGTGTGTGCTGCCGACGGCATGGCCCCACACCCCTCCCCTTGAACGGCGTCGCTGTGCCTTTTGCCCCATTGCTCCCTCGGCCGCTGCTAAAGCCACCACCACCGCTGTTGCTGCTACTGCTGCTGCTCCTGGCGGATTGCGGCTGCTACTGCTGCTCCCTGAGACACGGGCTCAGTTGGGAGAGAGGGCCTCGAGACAGAGCGGGGGAAGGGAAGGGGAGCTCTGATTAGGAGGCGCAGTGGGGGGGGAAGAAATTTCATGTGTGTGTATGTCATGGCTTGAAAAGCAGGAGGGCGGCTGTTGGCTATCTGATGTTTTATCTTGAGGTAAAGACCAGAGGTGAGATGCGTATTGCTGTTATGCGATGTGGGTTAACGTGCGTGCTTGGTACGTGTGGTGGCTACTGCCGCGACGACGGAGCCGTGTGGTTGTGGTGCTGATGGTGGCAAGGGGTATAGGTGGTGGGGATTGTGGTAGCGGTGCTGGTGCTGGTGGCGATGGCGATGAGAAGTAGTAGAGATGAGGGCCGTAACGTTGGTTGACTCAGAACGCAATGCGGTGGGGTGCAGGTGCAGGTGGTGCAAAGCAGGTGAATGGAGTTAGGGAGAGGCCGGGACCGGAGAGGAAGAGTGGATATGTGTGTGTGCGAGAGAGAACGTGGGAGAATGTGGGAGAATGTTAGAGAGAGAAAGAGAGAGAGAGAAAGAAAGAGAGAGAGAGAGAGAGAGAGAGAGAGAGAGAGAGGAGAGGAGAGAGGGAAGGTGGGGGGGTGGCTGCATCACGTTGGGGGAGCAGAGCCGCGGCTGGTAAAGCTGAATGGTTGAGCATCTTCATGGCGGTGGCCGAATTCGGAGCAGCCGGGCAGCTGCCTGCTCCGAGACACCTTGCCGCCGCCCTGTTCTCCCTTAAGGGGAATTATACCCTTAAAAGTACTCGTAAACTTGTATAGACGTGCATATTGCTAAAAGGATTTCCTTTGCCCGCTTTTCAGTGGACTGAGAGATGGATGCATTGACCACATGGAAACAGACTCCGTGCGCCGTCCTTCCTCGTATGGGTTGTGTACGAAAACTGCTTTGGCCGCGATATCTCGTTCATATACGTGTATGTATGTGCTTGCGTGTCTGTGTTGTAAGGGGTACGAGTGTGTATCTTTATGTGTTTGTTTGTGTGTGTGTGTGTGCCCTTCCATTCGATGACCTTTTTGTGCGTGTATACGTGAATTGAATCGTGTTTATTATGGTAATGCACTGGCCTATATGTGTTGGCACCTCTCTACGACAGGTGTGTGCGTGTGTGTGTGTGTTTTACGGCAGCGACGGAAGTCCATGTGCGTCTGTGTCAATTTGTCGGTCAGTTGATGCGCGTTTGTTTGTTAGGCCAGCAGCAAGGTAGGTAATGATGTGTTGTGTGTGTGTATGCGTGTGCGGGTAACCTTGACTTGACGCTTCGTATACCCGCTGGATACTTACGCTTTACTTGTAGTTGTAGGCTGTAGCTGATTCGCGCAGCGGGAGAGGTGAAGGGTGATGACTTGCGACAGCTGAGGAAGCGGGGAAGCGGGGTCGGCAATTTCCGCCTCTGTGTGTGTGTGGGGGGGGGGGGTAGGGGCCCTGTGTGGCTGTGTGTGTGGCTGTGTGCAGGACGACGGCACCGATGGGAACGGAAGTATGGTTACATGCGGAGGTTACATGTATCTGACCGGGCCTGACACTGGCCAGGGGTTGCTGCCCTTGTTATATGGCGTGTGCGTGTGTATTAATTGGTGTGCTTTTGGATGGGCAGGTGATAGCATGGCACTGGAGAGTTGGTGCGCTAAGGCCTGTTGCCGGTGGCCCTTGGCCGGTCTTGGGCCTGAGTGAGACAAACGAATGGGATGGGTGGATGGATGGATCAATGGATTGATAGGTGGAAGTGTTAGCGCCCCGTCCATGTATTGTGGGAGCCGTAGTACAGCGGCAGCAGCTAACGGAAAACCCGAGTCCGTCGTCTGGCCGTGCGCTTGCTGCTTCTTGTCTTCTCCTTTGACACGCGCTGTGTGCGTATCTGTATATGCGTGTATGTCCATTGGGACGCCGCCGTGGCCGCGGTTCTTTTCCTGACGGATTTCACCGTACGCCGTACTGCGCCTTATGTGGATATTATTACTTTTTTTCTTCGTACTGCTTGTGAGGTGCGGCTGGCGGCGAAGATTGATATCATGTGGTATAGGGGGCAGGGACAGTGCGAAATTTCCTTTTCATCCATCACCACCACAGCGAGCACAACGGATGTGGGTCAATCGGCCTCCTACTGTTTGGTGCATCCGTTGCCCGTTTGCTTACCTGCTGCTGTACGGCCAGTGTCTTGATGATCTCGACCTTTTGCGTCACCCCACCAACGCAGGTCTGCGTATGTTTGGGAGTGTGTTTCAGCGGGTTGTGTGTGTGTGTATATATATTGTTTGAGTTTGTGCGTTGAAGGGTTGGCGACAGGAGCCAAACAGGCGACGTAGTGCGCACCGTCTTGGTCGGGGGGATGTAGCTCTTTTATGAAATCCATATCTCGGTGATGGGTGTTTTCGTGGCACGACTGACCCACGGGGGGTCACAGAAGCCTCTGTCCCATGGGTTGACGACTATGTCTCATCCCCACGGTGTGCCACAGAAGCCTCCTCACCTCGAAAAAGGTCAACGGACGCTCGGTTACGGAGCGTCACTGATGTGACCCCATTCTCCCGCTTTGAGCTCATTTCGCCAAAGCCTGCGCTGCCGCCGCCGTGCATTGCCTGCGGGATTACTATATGCGTCTGGGTCGTCGAAGAAGCGCGTAACGAATGCGTGGTAGGAGAACTTTTGGTTTGGATACGTCGCAGCTAGGTAAGGGCCGGCAGTGCCGCAACGTAAGGGAGGTTGGGGAATCCTTTTTTCGGGGGGGGGGTATACTTGCAAGTGCGAGTGGTTGTGAATGTTGAGCGGGTGCCGCGCTTTGGAGGTGCAAAACATGTTCGGCAGGTTGCCACGCGCACTCGCGTGTGTGTGTTGTTGCCTGGGGTTTCGCCGGCCGTCAATATTTTACTTTGATCTTTCCGAGGGCATGAAGAGGTGTCTCAGGGCATGGAGTTCTGCTCCTCTTCCCTTCTCCTTCATCTTCCTCTTCTATCTCCCTCCGCTCATTACCGGCATTACCGGTGCCGCATGATGGCGGTGCAACCGCCGCCCTATTCTTGTCCCCGGAGATGTGCAGTTGGATGGATATGGTGTGTTCGGCGGGTGTGCGGCGGTGCAGTATCTATCTGGGTATGGCCGCGACCGCAGTTAGGAACGGCTCGAAAAACAAAATCTATTTCGCCTTGATAAAGGTGACTTCGGCAAAACTCCTGATGGGTTACCCTACGAATCGGTTACCAGCCAGGACAAAGTTCCTAACCATCATGAACCTAAGAACTGTCTTGTCTTCACCTGCTAAAGCGACCACAGACCTGCTGCCTGCTCAGCAGCTGCGTGCTTCTGTGCTGGCTGGTGCACGCTGAAAGCAGATGAAATATTTCCTAACAAGACTGCCCATGTGTACATCTTTAGGTTTGATTTGACGTACGTTGTATTATCATAAACACTGGAGGAGAAGGTACAGCAGGAACTAATCCTGCTTTTTGCGGGTTGGCAGCTGCCACAAGGTGGCTCTTACGTGTTTACATGTCGTACATGTTTACATATATCGTACATGTTTACATGGCGTACACTGACCGTTGGCCAGCTGCATGTGTTCCCCCGAGAGAATTCCGTCAGGGGGCGCACGTGGGATCAAATCGCAAATTCGTTCAGCATCTGGGATAATCTGAAATAAACTATCCTCATAAAACTTCCGTGCGTGCGTGCTCTATGTATTTGCGCTCTATGTATTTGCGCTCTATGTATAGGCTTGCCAGCTTCGTCGCATCAAAAGATCCCATAACGTTGCACATATCTACATCCGAAGGGAAACCAACTGCTCACCTCACCGGCTCGTAAGCAGGACATTCCATCAGCTCGTCTTCTACCTGGCCCCTCCACAAACCCGGCATGTTCGTTCCCCCCATGGCTTACGGCCGGGGTTAGCGTGCGAACCGCGACACATGCAGATCCACTTGCCAAGGCGAAAACGCATCAGGGTGATGTGGGTGATGTGCTCGCAGCATACTCACCTTTAGGTGCGCAAACTTCGACTTGGGATCCTCTGGCAAGCATTCTACTCCCATCCACATCTTATAGCGACAGGCAGTGACGCCTGGTCTAACCAGGTTCAAATTCCTCCCCGTATACTTAGGAAAAGGCCCCCCGGGGTCCACTGCGATATCCGGCTGTTCCCAATCCGCCAACAACCGCCTTCTAAACTCCTTCAGCAGCGCATCGGCACTGGGAGGTCCAGTTCCACAATTGTCCGTGCCTTCTCTCTGCGTTGCTATGTCCATCGTGTAAGTGGGGGCCTTTAATCAAAATCAAAGCCAGGATAACAGGAGATTTCGAGCACCTTCCCAGAGCTTCCAGAAGTGGCCATGTGGTCGCCCTGCTTCAAGCCATATGCCGTGATCTCCCCCTCCAACAAGGCCCTCCAACAAGTGTTGCGGTCTGCTTACTGACTAGTTTCCAAAACCGAAAAAAAACCAGTTGTGCACAAAAAAATAGTGCAGCGGTAGCTGCGGCGTTTCCGCGAAAAGTTGCCTATCGGGAGGGTAGCCTTGCACCGACAAACCCCCTTAGGAAACGGTTCTGCGCATGTACCATTGGATCCGTCATGGATTTCTCAAAGATCCCCCCAGTCCTTCCCGGACTTTTGATCCATTTCCCCTCCATCTTTTCAGGAGCGCCGCACTCTCTCCACTCGGCCCTGACCCTCTTCACTGCCCCCATCTCTGCCATTCCGTCGCCCGTCGTTTACCCGTTGTCCCTAGTACCTCCCAGATAGCATCTAGACCCCGTACCTGCGGCATCTTACGACAGTAAGATCGGCCGGACTTGGGCCTCGACGCACTGCAGCATCATGTCTGGGACTTCATGTGAGTCGGGAGTCGAGAGCGAACCTGGGTCAATGGCAAAGACCAAAAGATATTTCGCGTGCCCCTTGAGCGGGAGGGACTGGCCTGTGAAGGTCAGGCCCTCCGCATCGCTGCGTAGCGCATCACAAACACCATCAGTTCGCACTCACCCACGGTTAAGCTTATCTCTAATGCCTCACAATACTCGGAAAGCCTAAACATCTAAAAGAAGTTGCATACGCGCGCGATTAATGTCGAACAGCGTCATGTCATCCGCGTTCAACAGCTCCGGTCCCCCCCGCGGCTACCTATTGTGGGGTTATGCACTTGACCGAAACCCCGATCACGTTCATCAACGCAATCCGTAAATGCCTCAATAAAAACATGCCTAATAGGACAGGGCTAAACGTGCAGCCCCTGTTTTACCCTCTGCTCTGACTTAAAAGGCGTCCCCGAAAGGTGGTTGATCGAGACATGTTGTACTACCGGAAAGGCAGAATCCTGAACGTTAGCCCAGTGCCCGGAACAAGAGTGCGCCACGCTGCAGGTTGAAGCTCCTGTCCCGTGGCCATGATGCTTGGAAATTCTGTCGACCTTTCACTGAAAACTTGCAGCTTGCCTTTAAAGGGTTAACTGAATAAGCGGCCACTAAGAAGACATGAAATCTAAACGGCGACAATCATGTATACGAGCATTATTGTTTTCTTTAGCTCTCAGCGCAGCTTCTGCAGCTCTGGAAGTGGAACACTCCATCGGGGGATCGGGCTTTCGGCCAGCCGGCAAACTAGTTGGTAACTTGATATCGGTAGGAATGAAACGTGCATCTATTGGTGAAGCACATTTCCTGTCAGCAATCTAAGGCGGAGCCTCCTGAATCCCGGACCAGGATACGGAGCTAGTATGGCAGCGGCCGGCCCTGACCCCCGACGAGTTGGCTCTCTTGGAAAAATCCGCCTCGAGCGACGGGTGCGATATTTGGGTCTACCTGGCTGCCGGGCGTGCGGCGATGGAGTGCGGGCAACGCCGGGTTGGGGCATCTCCCTTACACAAGCTAATGCTGCTAAAATTGCATGCCCCTTCATCCCCGTCACCCTGATCCGCTAATCACGACCCTAACAACTTTCGGTTGCGCTTGGGGATTACAGGCTGTACTCCATTCGTGTCAAGACGGACCGAGGGACACTGTTATCATCCGTGCCGGCCAAGTGCCTGCTGTTGGATAACTTAAAGGAGCAGGTATGGCACGTGGCGGGGCGATGCATATTTAATACCAAACTGCCCAACCCCTCCCCTCCCACTGCGTAACCCATTTCCACCTTTTTTTCTCTCCTTTTCCCCCTCGGGAAGGTCGAACTCCAAGCCGGCCACGACGGCTTCATTGAGTCCTTCAATTATGGCGTCGAGTCCTGCTCATCCGCTGGTGCACCGGGGGCCGCTGCTTCCGGCGGCGGCGGCGGCGGAATCCCCGATGGCTCTGGCACCGGCGTGGGGCCCCGGCCTGACCGACTGCCCGTGCAGGTTAAGGTGCCAGCGCAGGGCCCGACGCTACTCATGCCTGAGGTGTTGGGCGAGTTCTCCGGTGAGTGGGCTGGTGCATGCGTGTGTGCGTGTGTGTAAAGAGGGAGATGGATGGCGAAAGGGTCTACGAACGGAACCAGCACCGCCCATGGAGGATCCATGCGAATTTGCCCATACCCCGCACGTTCGTGCGTGTTACCCAATACCGCGGCTTTACCATCCCTGCCTCCCCGGCCGTCACATCGCTGCTGCGGCAACCCCTAGCTGTCCAACTGTCGGACGGACTGCAGGAGTTTTTCGATACTTCCGGCGTCTGCAATCAATCGCTTCTTTCGCCTTGAGCACGTGAAGACCCCCATCTGCCACCCCCCAGCTGGCCTCTAGCTGTCAGCCTCGGCTGCCGGGCCTGGCTGCAACCTTCAGGAACTCTTTATCGACAGCGCTCAAAGTGCTACCGTGTAACGTTCTTCTTTCACACAGCTGTTGATCGTTTCCCTGTTCACTAGTCCCTTCCGTGCCATCTTCTTTCCGCTTCTCGAGTGGCTCATCTGTTAGCCTACAGCCCAGTCCGCGCGCATCAAGTCCTTTTTTCTATTACTCTTGTTCCATCTCGCATGCACGCATGCACGCGTAATGATATGGTGGTCGTTCCATGGATTGCAGACGTGTATGTGGATGCGACGGAGGCGGGAAGTGTGGGCGCCGCGGCGTACGATCCTAACGCCAAGCCGCGGACGTTGCCCTCGGGGGGAGCTGGTGGCCAGGCAGGGGCGCGGAGGGGCGGGCCGCCGCCCAAGGATGAGCGGACATGGCTGCAGAAGAACTGGTGGGTTGCTGGGTTCTGTGGTTGTAGGGGGTTAGGGTTTTGCTATTATCAGACCCAGTTCATTTGTTAATGGCGTTTTGGCAGGTTGTAATGTCGAGTGTTTGCGATGATGGCTGTCCATATAGCCTGTACTTGTGTACTTGTGCATGTGTGTGTTTTGCATGGCCAACTACGTTAGCGCAAGGTGCCTGAGTATGATGCTTCCCCTCCCGCCTTGCTCTCCTTGCCTTTCCTTGATGCGCTGTCATGTCCTGCTCTCTCTCCCTGTCTGCCTGCCTGCCTGCCTGCTTGCGGTCTTCAGGCTTTACGTGGTGGCCATCGGTATGATGGTCCTCAACGTCGTCGCCAAGGCCAATGTGCCGCCGCCGCAGCAGGGTGGGCCCGGGGCAGCCCCAGGCGGAGGTGGTGGTGGAGCTGCGCGCCGTAGCTGAACCTGTCTTACACGCGCCGCGGCTGCAAGCTCCCCATGTGTGTTTTGTCTTTCATGGGAGGTTAATGCCAAAGCCGCTGCCGCAGCTGCTGCCACTGCCTCGCTATCCCCGGCGTTTTCAGCAGAGGATTGAACCTCTTGGGTGTCGGGTATTTTGGGCGTGTCGGATACATTGGGTGCGCACACCTGGCATGCATAAGCCTGGTCAAAGGCCTAGGTGGCCATGCTGTGCCAACCTCTGGTCTAGATTGCCCTAGTCTGTGTGTGTCGGTACGTATTGCACGTATGGGTATGATGAGCCGCGCAGCGAAGGCTCGCGGCTGTGCTGTACTGGTTTCCACGCATGTGGCGGTGGCAGTTAAGCAGGCCGTAGCCATGTGGGCATGCAGCTGCCAGGTAAGGTGACGCAGCACAGCGCGAGATGATGAGTCTAGGGGTGTGCCCGGTGTTGGGAAAAGTGGCCGTGTGTTTTAGCGCCTTATGCATGCTCTCAGTCACTATTTCCGCTTGCAAAGGTGGCCGCGGGTCCTCCATGCTGCAGGAGTGCTTGCCAGATACGGATGATTTGGGTTCGGCCTCGCACATTACGAGGTGTTAAGAGTTTGAGGACTGTATGGCAGCGTTTGCGTTGCACTTCTACTCCTTGCTTGGTGAAGATAAATGCTGTGCGCAGGACGAAGTCCAGGAAAGTCTCTTAGTGCCCCAAGGCAGAGAACTAAGGAAAGTCTCTTAGTGCCCCAAGGCAGAGAACTACAAGTAACTAATGCTGGAAATACGCCTCCGTCCACTTATGAACGCTCTAATTGGATCGACACTGCCGACGTCCTTTGTTGGACATTATCCACAAGAAACCCACACGAGCCAACCACAACTGCCAAATAACCAAAAGGCGTTAGGAACGCAGACCCTCAGGTCACTTATCATCTTGCAGCTGGGATTTCCGCAGGATTTGGTAGGAAAAAAAGCGTCAGTGAACCATTTGCCCAGCGACGCTACGTCTCGTCCTTTCATGCGACATTTTGTCTCGAGAAACCCTAGGCGGTAAATCACAGGCGGCCGTTTGCTTCGCAAGGACCCAAGGCTCCATGATAATAATCCCGGCCTCGCCGGTCCTTGACCTCAAGATATTCCCACCGTCCCCACCTTCAACCCCAAGAAAGGCTCACCCAAGCACAGTACCCCTCACACCCACATCGCACAAAAATACCCCCAAGATCACATAATCGAGAGCCATGAAGCAAAATATAAGCCTGCGCTCTATGGCCTGCGAAGCGCTGCGTCCTCTCCCACTAACACAATCATGTTCCTGCCAAACTGCCAGTTCCCCAAAGTAATGTATACACCTGCATGTGCAATTTGAGATTGAACCCCGGCCTAGCCAGTTCTTCCCATGTACGGGAACACACCAAGAAGCTACATGGATTAAAGGGTCACGGCACCTGCGAATGTGGATGTCTTTCTCATCCCAGCATTACACACCGGTCGCCTGCCATAAAGAAAGGGGCTGGCATAGCGATATCGCTACCGCTGCAAAGATTTTCTTAACAAGGAGCGAGGTTCTCCAAGAGGACCATCGCTTCCTGTGCTGCTGTTGCTGCTGCCACCGCCATGCAGTGTGCAGCTGTTGCCTTCTTCGCCGCCCCGTCGCCGTTGTCGTCGCAGTTGTCATCCTCCTCCTCATGGCCTCTTGAAACTGCCCCGTTGGTAGCGGATCCCACGCCGGACTGATCCTCGTCACTTTCCATCTCGCTCGCCAAAAGCGCCAGCTTTTCCCTGACGCAGCAGGACAAGCACGCCGCCACTCGACCCTCAACTTGTTGCAATTCTTTCTAAAGGACATCACATTGCACGGCACTCTGAAAAATATACGCTATTGTTTGTTGTCTTGTCCTTAATGAGACCTGGCCACTGCCAAGCTTGCCCCAGCTCTACAAGCCCGGCCACCTGCCTGCAACAAAACCATCGGCTTCACCCAGGACTTCCTGCCTAGCGGCCCCTCCTGCAACCACTGACCTGGCCGCCCTGACATGGCCGCTGCCTTAGCCCTGCCCTTCCCTTCGTGCCTACCCCGATGATCCTCCGTCCCCCGGGCCCCCTCCTCACCTGTGGACCACCTCGTCCATGGTGGGGAAGCCCAATTGGTCAGCCATGGGCTTGCCGCGGCTGCTGCCCGCTATTGCCCGGACCTCCTCGCTAGAAAAGTTGACCAGACCACGTCCTAGCTCCACACCCGACAAATCGCAGAGCGATACACAGTCCTGGGGCAGGTAGGAATCACAGTAGCAGGACTCTTAAAAGGACGCCCATATGTGCGCCCATGCAGCGCGGTGGGGATGGGTGTTGAGCAGAGCACGGGGGAGTGAGCACGGGCGGATGCATGTGATGTGCTCGCTTCGGGGTTGCCCAGTTGCCCGGTAACGCCGGCCACCTACACGGACGCAAAATGGCAACTTTCCTGGCTGGGGTTTATGACAGGAAGTGTTTCAAAACGGTGATACGCATCTTCAGTTGGTATGCACAGGTATTGATCATGCTCATGACCATCCATCACCATCTGCCAAAGCGAGGCCGTAACCCAGCCCAGCCCAACTCCGAACACCCGGTCAACAGTAGATACGCGCCCCCAGCTGGCAGCTGCGCACCTACCTGCGAATGGAACGCTCCTACCACCTTCGCGACGCCAGCCGCAAACAATGATTTGTGCTTGTCTCGTACGGCACGTACTGCGCCTGCATCCAGCCACAGCTGACCCCTGGCGACGCAGAAGAAAGAGGACAGAGAAGAAAGAGGCGCCATGTAACACAACGGCAGGCCAACGGGACAGGGATTGAAGAAAGAGGAAATCCCGACATAAAAATACACAATAACCTAAAGGAAAGGCCAAGACAAATGCATGCACCGCAACGGCCAAAGCCCAAGGCCACCAAGATCGGCAGATCGATGGAAGGGCACTTCGCGGCAAAAGCAGATGGGTCAGAAGCGTTGCTGCTGCTAAACCAACACAGCCCCCGTCGAGCGCCGCACCCAACACCGGTTCCCCCCCCCGCCGCACGGCACAGCCCACCTGACCGGCACTGAGAGGATCCATCGTTTGCGGCCCTTGAGGCAGTGCGGCAGCGGAAAAAACTTGGACCCTAGACGCGGCTCGCCCTTCAGAGGTACATGAGGCGAGAGAACCCAGACGCGATCCGAATACGGTCGCGGTCAACCAGGGGGTAGGTAGGTAGGTAGGTAGGTAGGTAGGGTGCGAGCGAGTGAGTCAAGGCAAGTGTAAGGAAAATGTGGTGTGCTCCTGCCTGCATTTAGTGTGGTCGTTATAGGAGTGAGCGTTTTGCCCTCCTCAAAAGGGGCGCTCGAGTAGGTGGCTCTGGGGTGCATAAACACGCACACGCACACACATGCACACACATAAACGTGTGGGGAAGGGCGTCACGTCCTCAGGTGTTGTGGTGATGAGGCGACTCCTGAACAACACAGGGCGTGCTGCGCTTTGTGCAGCAACCACACCGCAGCACTCTGCGTGTAGAGACGGGCGATCAACTGCTTTCCGCGGGGGCCCCGCAACCACCCAACCAACCCGCCAACCAACAAATCCTTTTGGTGGCACTTGCGGCACACCGCCCATCCCACGACACATCCCAGCCCACCTTGACGATCCGCACAATGTTCTCAGGTGCGTTGCTGTTACATATAACCATGGTGCAGCCCGCGGCGGTGGCAATGCGGCCGGCAGTGAGTTTGGTGGCCATGCCGCCCGTGCCCCACTGCGTCCCGCGTGTCGAGGTGTCGGCGTTGAGGCGGGAAATGTCCTCCACCTCGTAAATGGGTACAGCGTTGGGATCGTCCTTGGGGTTGGCTGCAGCAGAGCGGTAAATTGCGGTTAATCGCAGTTAATTGCAGTTTTTATTACGGTTGGCAGTTTTTGCGGTTTAAAATGGATGGAGACCGGGTAGACCAGGCACAAGAAACAAGTTCACTACTGGTATCACGTCATAGCTCACATATGCGCTTTCCTAATCTAGCAAGCCCCTTAGTCACACAAGACCTAGCACCTGCCCGTGTCTGACATGACACAGGCACGAGCGCCCCTGCAGTAAAGCTACCCCCCCCCCGAGTCTCTACCCCCCCCCAAGCCATGTATTCTTCTTCCCTTTCCGCTCCATGCTTACCCCCTAAATTATACATTCCTTTCCGTTCCCTCCCCTCTTCCTTTTCCTCTTTTTCCCTCCCCCATTTTTCCCCTCCCACTCCTCTTCTCCCTCCCCCTGACCCATTTTTCCCCCCCTTCCAGTCGTCCTCGCACCCGTGTAGAGGCAGTCCACATCAGTCAATAGGAACAGCCAGTCCGCCTGCACCAGTGCCGCCACCTGGGCCGACAAAGTGTCGTTGTCACCAAATCGGAGCTCCTGAACCGCCACCGTGTCCTGAGGTACGAATGTACGACATCCGGGGGCCCATGAATATTATACACACGTAAATACAAGCCTTAAGAAGTGCATTCTCCAAACTACCAAAGCCAATGCACGCCATTTCCATACTTTTATCGCCAGGGGGATTGCCAGTGCGAGCGGGTGGGAAATAATTGGTGCTGGGGGTCCTGCCAAGGGTCCTACGCCATGAGCCGCATATCGAGATGCCCCGGAAGCGAGCCGGGCCCACACCCTCGACTGCCTTACACCCCGCTTCTAATCCTTCTAATTCTTCTAATAATACTGTTGCGCAGCATGCACAACCCTAAGCTTGCCAGTGTACACTTTACCTCCTCTCCTCACCCGCCCCCCAAAAAACACATCCCCCGTTCCCTCTCCTTTAGACCGTACATAACCATACATTTTCATTCACCACCGGTACGACACCGTACGCGAGGAGCTCCGTAAACGTGTTCCGTGCGTTCAAGTACTGACTTCGGTTGGCCAGGTTGTCCAGTGTGAGTAGCACTTGGGCGCACGTCTGCGGCGCCGAAAACCGCAATACCACAAAAAGAAACTGGCGAGTTAAGAGAGACGGAAGGAGCACCTGTGCAGCACTGATAATGACGTAAACAAATTCAACAACACAGATGGCCAAGCAACGAGAGATCCAAGCGCACGGAAGTGTAAGTCGCGAAGGGTGCAAGGGAACAAGGGCTCTTCCCAAGGGCGTGCTGACCCGCAGCCACTGGCCATCCCGCAGTGGCCATCCAGCATCGGGGAGCGGCCCACCTCAACCAAACCTCCTTATCGCTAGACTGTACGTGCCCTCATTCCTCTTCCTCTACAGCCAACTCCCCCCTCGTCACCGTCCTCTACCTCTCACCCTTTCCCCCTCAGGTCCCTTTACCGCTTTTCCCGATATCCTCTGGGACCGCGCCTCCCTCCTCCCGCCTCCCTCCAACAAAACCAACCCCACCGCAACCGATTCCTCCTCCGCATCCCACTCCCAGTAATTGACTTCTTCCCCTGGACTATCCGTCTATCCCTATCTCAGGTATCTGCTCCACTCTTCAGTGGTTCATCTTGACACCCCCCCTCCCCCTAACCGCCCCAGTGTGTGTCGCAAGCAAGCTTGACCGCGACCGACCCACCCACGACCGACCCACCGACCCACCAGTCCAAGGGCCGCCAAGAAGTCTTCATAGTACTTCATGAGGTGCACCTGGCCCACCGCCGCCAGGGCCTGCTTCTTGGCCAGGACACTGGGCTTGGTGGTGAGACCCAGCCGCTGACAGCCCACTCCCACCGCGCCACTGGTGACCACGATGACGTGGTGGCCTGCGTGGTGGTGATGGTGTGCAGAGGCAGAGGAGTCGAATTTTAGGGTAGGTAGAGGCGTTCGGGCGTTCGGGCAGTGTATTTCCGCTTGCTATTGTCGTATATTCTAGCGCAGGGTGCAGGGTGTGTGCTTACTTCTTTGTGCACGTGTGGTGTTTCGGAGACAGCAGGACCGATTCCCGGAAGCGTCCTCGCCCATGCGTTTTTTTTGTGTGTATGCATGTGTGCGCTGTCTTTTTTAAAGTGTTCTTCTACTGTGTCTTAGTCGTAGACACATGCTGTGGTGTCAAGAGGACTGCATGTGCGTCTGAAACAGCCCTGCCTAAGATAAGCTCTCGTGTGTGGGGGGTGGGTGGGGGGGGGGGTTCAGCGCACCTTCAGACTTGAGTAGCTTGACCGTCTCGCAGATTCGTGCGAGGTTGGTGAGGTTGAGGGTTTGCTGCTCTGGCCGGACGAGTGAGGACGTGCCCACCTTGATCACCTACAGCATGTGATCCGTAAACCTATATTGGCTGCAAGTAATGTCCATGTGGGTTCTGGACCCTGGGTTTGTGTAAAGGAGTAAGGCGTGTGTGCAAGTGTAAGGACAAGAAAAGCGATGCAAAAAGCCGAACAGTCCGATACGGGAAAGGATCAACGAGGGAGAAATGTTCCGGTGGGTTTTAATATAGCGTGGGTGATCGTCTGCGAGTAGGGAAGGGTAGATGGCGAGTCGTGCAACCCCGTTCCGTAGCGCGGGCAACAGTCCCAAGCGCTGGCCGGTTGGGATCTCATTGCTTCAGACGAGAATAAGACAAGAGGAAAACCATATCTATAAACTTGCTTTACAGGGCAGCCATGTCCCATGTCGGACGTAGCCCAAGAGCCGACGCGTCGCATGCGATGCAACTGTCGCCACAACACCAACCCAGCTGAGTTAGGTAATTCCTTGGCAAGTGGAACCTAATGCAAAGCAAGAGACTTGCCACCTCTATCTCACAGCAAATCAGAATAACAAAGCTGAAACCAAGTTGATCGAGCCGCCGAGGACCCAGCCAGACTTACAAATATATCGCCAGAGCTCAGAGCTGCCTTTACAGGTCCTTTCTTCTTAATCTCCGGGGCTTTTTGGCTAGTCGTCCGTTCCATCTCTTATTATGTATGTCCTTAATGGCAAACGCGATGTGCGGAGAGCTGGTGTAGAAATATGCGTGTCATATCAGTATAACAGGTAGTCCATGACATGTAAACGGAGCGACCACTGCAAAGCAGTTAAACTTAATTTGTACGGCGCAAGTCGCGCACGCTTCCTGGAAACACGATTTCTCTAGGGCACTACAAAACACTAGCTGACTTTAGCGTTTCTGCATTTTAAGACCCTTTCTGAATCGCAACGATACTATTGTCACTACTTTCGATTGTTTTTGACCTTCGACCATAGCAAACCCGTAATATATAAGACAAAGAGATTTCTCACAAAACTTAACAAATCGTCTCTCAACCGACACGTTGAGGATCACCAACCGGAGCAAAGTTAACTCCTGAAATGGTGAGGAATCGTGCTTGGAGGGCCGTTCTTCGGTCCGACATGTGCACGTTGACACGCTATAATCGCATGAAAGAAAATCCCGGTACAGGGTCATCAAAGCTCAGATTACCCAACCCTAGTGACGTGGTTCGCGCAGGGCTGGACTGGCTGGCTGATTGGCCAAGTGGTTTCAACTACATTAATTCTTGGCTCTTTAAAGCGTTCCGGCATTGTTGTGTAAGTGGGATGCTGGTATGTTCCCTCAGCTTGAGTCACGGTTTCACAGGCACACGCGTTTAGCGTGGGATAAATGAAGTCCCCTGTAGTTCCACATCCGTCCCATGCTACGACCGTGCAGTTAGGCTGTTGCCCCCGGGCGTACACCGTGTTCTAGTCTCGGAACGTTTGGTAAACTCTTTCCCCTTGCCCTCAGCTAGCGACGGTGCCTTACACAACCGGTCTAGCACGGGTAGTGGTGATCCGGGTCCTAAATTTTAGCGTAGCATATCTCTTTGCGTAGCTTAGCAGCCAACCTGCGTAGCTGTACTGCCAAATTAAGAAATCTATCGTGGATTGCTGCTCGCGCCTTGCCTTGTTGCGCTCATGCTGCTCCTTGTGCAGGGTCCAACCGCAGGCGTTCAAGAATGAAAATGCCCGAGTAACCTTCACCAAGCTGGTGAGCCCCAAATTCAACTGCGAACAGAAACCCGAAAATACGAACTATCCGCTAGGTCAGGCAAGACCGTTGTGAAGCACAGGAATAGGATATCTCATGCAAAGCACAAGCCCTCCGAAATTTCGGCTGCGGAGCTCTCCCACAGCACCCTAGTTGTGGTATGACAAATCACTAAACCTGGTTTATTCATAAGCGTTCCGGCCAGTACAAGTTTTTTTTACAACGGGTGTTTGTTGAAGTACGGTATCGGTATCCTCAAAACTATTGGTACTGATATGCGCAAGGTATTTCTTAATACCAATCCGAGGAAAATCGCTACTTTCCTTACTGAGGTTTTTGATGAGCGTCAACAGCGTGCTCTGGAGCCTCACGGCTCGTGAGGGCACCCGCCGCGTCGGCGGCGGAAATACTGTAACCACAATACAATACAATACAATTGGTCACGGAGCGGATTTGGGCCCGTCTGTGCCCTTGCTCTCCCCCTAAAACTCTCACACCGTCAGGTTAACATCGGCGAGGATATGTCGGAGCTCCTGGAGAGGGCCTACGTGACCGCGTACGAACGGGTGAGTCAGGTGACAGGAGATTGGCGCGATGGCTGGGGCAGATTTGGTGGGTGGGTTCCAGGGTTGGGCTCCAGGCTTAGGGTTAGGGTTAGGGTGAATTGATACATGAACGTGAAAAAATATTTCAACAAGGCGGATGGAGTTTAAAACGATGATAGCTCGCATGGACGGACCACTGGTTGGACGGTTGAATGGCGCATGGGTCGCGATTGTCCGTAATCCTGGTGGCAGGATATGCCGCATAACACCGCCGCATAAGGCCCCACAGTGCGTGCATTCCATTACTGCTGTTAATAACACACCAGGAGGGTGCGCTGCACAGTATGCATGGGGCCCATAGGGACGCGCCATTGGTCAATCACATGTCCCGCTTGGCATCCTTGAGCTTGGCATCCGCGGGTTGGCATTCTCCTCGCCTCTGCAGATCTACCCGCCTGTGCCCAGAAGGTGACCTATGCGGCCGGCGCATGCTCGGACGCAACGTGCCCGACGCCCCTTAATGACACGAAGATAACCGCTCCTCAGCTTTATATTGCACGGATTGCTTGTCTGGCAGGCTGTTTATATGGGCATCACACACGTAGCTTAGGATACCGAAATTGTTAGGCTTAGGATTGCAAGCGATTGATAGTTGTTATGTCGGAATCATGTATGTTGTTGTATTCGTCTTGTGGCATCCGGTTGTTTAGAAGAGCACTAATCACCAACGTGAATATGTTCCCGGGTTATGATTTTATGCGTTAGGTTATGCGTTTAAGGGCAAATTGGCATTTAAACGTTTTTTTGGGGGTGAGGGGCAAAGGCCTGACTCCGTGTCGGCATGTTTCGGGTTATGGCAGTTGTGGGTGAAGAATAGAAGGTACACAATAGAAGGTACGCGGGAAAACCTGATCAAGGCACTGACGCTGGGTTTACCTGGGTGTGGCTGCCATCGTGTACACTCCGTAGTGGCGTCCTATCTGATGTTTCTCGCATGTCCACCGTGGAATGGGTTGACAAAAGATGTAGATTGCAATGCGGAAGAGGACTGCCGTTAACTGTTTTCCCCGTCAGATGACTCCCATTGCTTTTAGTCAGGCAGTAAGTATTCCCGCGAGTAATCATTGGCTTCTGGTGCTGCAGTAAAAATCTTAATATCTAAAAATCTTCAAACCAAAATGGCGCTGACGCAGATTTGAAGGGTGATGGCCCAAACCCACAGCCCACACCAAGTAATGGCTGCTCTGCGGATATGTGAAGGAGCTGCGAGGGGAATACAAGCCCTCAACCGAAAGCCACGGGGACACATCAACACGTCAAAGTATTATAAACGTCAATACATCACACCGACGTATTATAAACGTCAGTACATCACACCGACTTCCGGTGTCACCATCGCCACCGTCAGTAGTTGCAGGTGTATCAAAGCCAACCAACCCTCAACCCAAACGCAAGCAGACCGCTTTCTTCGGTACACAGCATGCCAGTGCAGCCATGGCTAGCCCACACAGACAAATACGAGACCCAGCGCGCGGCGAGCCAAGCATAGTTGGCGACATGCATCGTTCCCAACACGCGTGTGATCCTCATGTGCAATTGCGGGCTGCCTGCTTCGCCACAGTGTCTCATCGCTTCCGGCCAGTAGTGGTCGTGCAGGCAGCTTGAAGCGGCGGCGGGCTGTCCTCCGCCGCTCCCTTGTACGGCTCCAGGTCGCAGATCATCTTGTATGCATGACGTCCCGGCGTGTAGTAGTCCTCCTGTCATCGTGATGGTGCGTGGGTTAGCGCGCGGGGGACATACACACACGTGTCACATGGCCATCACTGGGGAGCTGGCATCAGGCCCGGGCAGCTAGGAAGCAAGGATAAGCGGAGCTGCAGAGGGCTAGCCACGTGGCCGGACCTGGTGTGCCGCGGGTGCTTGGGCACTTATGGGATCTTGGGGGGGGGGAGCTTTGTTTAAACAGGTGGCTAACCATGGTGGCTAACATTGAGTGGTGGCTAACCATGAGCAAGTGCCACGATGCTCGTCCTGCTGGCTGCAGCAGCAGCAGCAGCAGCAGCAGCACAAACAGCGGGGACGCTTCCCGCCTTCAGGCGAAGATCCCAAATGCGATGAGCTCTTTTAGTGTGCAGTGTCGTGGCATCAGGTCTCTAAAGGGAGTGAGGTCGCCGATGTCTCAGGAAGCTGTACAGACTTCCACCTGTGCATGCAGCCACACATTCCGCTTCGCCAAAATTACATCCTGCCCGACAGCGCGCTCCACACACTCACCAACAAACCATCCTCTTTGTAGCCAAGGGATCTACGTGAGGGGGGCAGTACAGTACGGATAAGCGCAGGTGGAACGTGACGGGAGCCGTGTCGCAACAAGGCAGGCACACATACATACAGACACACACGCATGTGCAAAATTGTTTCCTCATTCCGGATAATAACAATAATAATAATAAGTTCGCAGATGGTGTTATTGCTTGCTATTCATTTGGAGCAGGAGTTCCCGGAAACGTGCCGTTTGCCGTTGGTTGGTGCAGCCGCACCTGTACAACTGAACTGCAGGCTCGTTGTCAAGAGCGACGTGTAATGTGGAGGAGCTAGATCGGCGCTGGTTGGCCGCCGTACGAAGAACCGCCTGGCACCGTACATCAAAGGTTAGTGTGTGAATGTATGGTTGTATTTGGGTTTAGGTTACGATACGTGACCGTCATGGTGCCCTGTACAGCCGCTGCCAAAGATACGGCAGTACCTGTAATGCCGTACAGTGCGTAAGATCAAGGGCAAGTTGGGCAAATGATGGCCTTGGGTGCGACTGTGTTGCACGGGGGGGGGGTTCACTGGCCAAGCCTGGACTACCTCCCCGGCTGGGCCCTCGGCGCTAACCTGCATGAGGCTCCGGGCAATGCCCTGCCGCCGGCAATCGGCCCGAACAGCAATCTTGGACACATGGAGATTTAATCCAGTGCTCGTGCACAAAACATATCCACAGAGCTGCGACGGAAATGTGGCGAACGTAGGAATGCAAGCCATTGCCAGGGGTTGGTTATACGCCTGGGGCGACAGGAAAGGCTGTCTTCTACCCACCTTATTATTGTCTTCGAGCCTGGCCGCTGCAATTATACAATTACGCTTCTTCGCCATTTGCTCCAGTTCGCCGTCTGCCCACGAGTCATTCTTCCTGAAAGTTGCCCGCTCTAGACCAACGAGCTCTTCAAAAAATTTTGGAGAAGTTAGATTTCCAATTTCTAATCGGAACATCTTGGGCGTGTGAGCCATTCTACCGTCTCGACGCCTAGAAATGCTGCCATTACGAATCTTTCCTCTCGGTTTCACTAGACGGCGCCATATAATAATAACGCTCTACTCACGTGGCGTTATAATCAAGCAGCTCTCTCACTTGCTGGGACAACACTAGGTTAACTGTCCCAACTAACCCTAGCCCCATTCGCTGCACCAGGTGCCTAGGGAGTAGGGACACAAAGCTGAAAATTTCCATGCTTAAATCGCAAAGATATCTTGCAAAGCAGTGACTTATGTTACAGAGCCTACTTTCTCCGCCGGAGATGAAAAACAGCTTGCTAAAAGTTGGGTATACATTATACTAAGTCCTTGCTGACCAGATTCTGATAAATCTTCATGGATATGGCGAACTATAGGCCACCTGTTTGGGCTGAGTGCACGACCAAGGCAGCCATCGTCGTGTACGGCCTGTCAACCGATGTTGAATCCAAAGTTGCGACGCAATTCGCAAGTTGAGAAGCTGCACGACCGCACCCAGCTCAATCGCCACCAAAATTTTACCAAGAAGCAACCTAAGAAAACCATTTCACATCCCCTCTATCAGCGCACTCTTCACTCGTACATATCTTCCCAAATGGCTCGACCGCTGCCAAGCCTATACGGGGCGCTACAAAGTCTATTCGCTTCCCATGTGCATGTTCGCAATGCCGCCTCTGCGGTGGCGGGAGGAGGCAGTTTGACAGAGAGCGGCGGTGACTTTGTCGAAGTCGCGGTGACACCAGAAGAGCTGCCATCGGAGGTGAAGGAGGCGCTCAGCCGAACGCTGGCGCTGGTAGCCGGTACCACCAGCGCTAGGGATACGCGACGAATCCTCCAAGACCACTATGCAAAGTGCGCCACTCCTGGAGCCACCAAAACCCATTTTTCTACATTTGTTTGAGACCATTTTTAGCCTGTCTTGTAGGGACGGATGAACAGAGACTTCCAAACACATGAAAAGTCGACGGTGTACGGACTTAACCATTGACAAAAAAAGATGCAATCCACAAAATGACCCGTGGGTCGGTCCATTTGGGTTTTCGATTCTCCCGTCCTCTCTTCCCTCTCTCTGCAGAGCCCTTTGGTTGCCCGAAAGGAAAGGATGCGCTCCTTGGACCCTCCGCTGGGCCCTACCTCGCGCGTCTCCCGCTTTCAATCAGTTCCTTATTTATCACACTTCTTTATTTATTTATCAGTTCTTCATTTATCACAGTTCTTTATTTATTATTTTATCCATGAACACACACACGGTTCAATCCAACATGTGGGCAGCGCAGTCCCGTTTCCCTTCCGATTTCTCGTCTCGTCGCTTTCTTCATTCTCTCGCTCCCTGGTCGCACCACTCGCTTGCTGCTTCGCCCTCTGCGTTCCCCAGGTTTGCCATCTTCGAGTCCAACGTGCTATGGTGCCCGCACAGCATCGGCATCGCAACATGGATGGCGGCCGCACGCCTGCTCACTTTACCGTACGTGGAGTGCATCCGGTGCCATCGTATCGTACTGCGGCGCGTCTCCTCCTCCTCCTCGGCCGCCGCCGCCGTCGTAGCGCTGCCCGGTGCAGCAGGCGCAGGTTCCGGAGCGCAGCCGTCCCATCAAGGCGCGTCGGCTGGGCTGGAGACCGCGGCCCAGGGCGCCCCCACACCGGAGGTTCACATGCAGGTAGTGCAGTACAGTAGATGAGTGTGGCGCATCGTAAGGCCCGGCAGGCCGCATGCAATGAATGACTTGCTACACGACACGGAGCTTAAGATGGACCTAATGTAATCTGAGGTATGTGCACCTGCTCACCCGTCCACTGACGCTATCAGGCCCCCCCCCCTCATGCAGATGGATGCCGCATTCGCATGGCGGCCGCTGGCACCCCTTCACCACTTGCTTCAGTCGTGGGGCATCAAGGGCCTACAACTGCCCACCATCACCACCGAGCACACCATCACGCTCACCATCAACACGCAAAGCAGGTGTGGTGGGAAATCCCTAAAGCCTTGCATCAACCTCTGCGCCTCTGACCTTGCACCGAACTTGGTTTCGAGCTCGCTTTGTGGTAACAGGATTCAGAGATCCATTTTTAGATTTTTATCCAGCATGCGAAATTTTCGTTTTTGAAGATAACAAATTTGTTTCTTTTCAAAGGTTCCGTATTCAAATATCTATCCAATCCTCAAAACGATTAACGCGCCTGCGTATTGCTGTGCGTGTGGCCCCGCAGAGTGGTGCAGCACCGAGATATCACGCACAACTTCCCATCCGCACCCCTCCCGCTAAAGGGGGTGCTAGGACTGCCCACGCCGCTGATCGCAACCGTGCTTCACGTTTAGGAGGAACTGGAACACAACGTGTGGCGGACGTGTGTCACTCGCTTCTCATTAGCGACTTGCTAAGCGAGCCGGGCCGGGCCCCGGGGAGTGGGGACCTGAGTCGTCTGCACTCTGCAGGACAGGGCGGCGCCCTCTGATGTGAATGTGTGTGCATGTATGTGTATATGTGTGTGTAGAGGCGCTTCATGGTGAACACGCTCCACGATGGCGCTGCTGCCTCAAACACTGTAATGCTGATGCTGCTACTGCTATGCTTATGGTTATGCTTATGCTGCAACACTCGGCTTTAGCACGTTCTCCGCCTGCGCGCAGTCTCGAAACACGACAGAGGGAAGGGGGACACCGAGGCGATTGATTATTTCTGCGTGGTCAAACAGAGGGTTGCAAAGATGGGGGATTGGGGGCAGGTACTGATCAGGCGGGATGGGGAATAGGGTGACGACGTCAGGATGGGATGTGGGGCCCAAGGCAAGGATTTGGGATTAGGCGTGCTACACTACTTTTGGGATGGGAATTGCTGTCGGGGTGAGGATGGGAACGGGATCCCTGTCTGAGGAGGGATGGGGTTTGAAACCTTGACCAAGGATGGGATTGGGAACCCTGGCCAAGGACGGGGATGGGACCCTGGCTGACAGGATGTGGATTGCAGGCTCAAGTTCCGAGATCGGCGCATGATGATGTTGGAGTGTGCAGAAAACAACTCCTCTGCCAAATCAATATTATAGCCACGAAATGGTTGAATGGATGAAAGGATGGGGCGCGCTGTTGCGCGCGATCTATACTCTGCCGTGGATGGATGCATGGAGTGCGACGCGTGAGTGCTCATGTATCCGATGTTCAGATAGTGCCTCTGGGACAGCTGCTGGACGTGAGGTATATAGTTTCATGTGGGGGTGGATAGTTTGACATTATTGAGGGGTCTTGATTGGGCTCTGGTGCTGGGAGGCTGGGGCTGGGGCTCAGTTGTGGGGTACAGGAGTTGCGGTGCAAGCTGGTTGGCGGTGGAGCCGCACGCACAGCCGCTGGGCAGCTGAAGAAGCCTCTAGATAGATGGCTTCGCACGTCAAACGCATAGACGCGCTAGATAAACAGTAATCGCACCAAATCCAACGACTTTACAGACGTATGAAGGCACATAAGCGTAACATAAAATGTAAGGACTTATACCGGGGAAAAAATGAGAGAGGCTGCCTAAATTTCAGCGCTGGTCGTTGATCCTGTGTATGAAACAGAACGAGGCATCCGCACCGTAAGTGGACAGCCCAGTTATTGCCCAGTGACTGCCCAGTTATTGCCCAGGACTGTCCTGGGCTGACGTTCCCCGATAGAGTGAGCTGGCTACGACTTGTTAAGCAATAAAGGCATGCAGAGATGAAGCCCTGTATAAATGAGTTGCTATCAGGCAAGTCGGTGCCTTGATGGATTTACGCGACGCGGGTAGCTAGAGAGCTTGCTATTGGTGACGCTCTTTCCCGGGCCTCGAGGTCCGGGTCCATTTCAAGGCATTCTAAATCAAATTGGCTAGATTGCAAATGCAAATGCTGTCTGTCAGTTCTGAAACCGTACAGCCGTTATCGTTGCCAGTTGCAATTCGCCATAATGCGGGAAGCGGTATCCAGGTAAGCCAAGCACCGCTCAATAAGAAGTTATTATAGTAATTGCAGTGAAAGTCCATTCCCTTAAACAGGAGAGAGGCCTTGCGAAGCCCGTTGAATTGTCGTGTAACTGTGCACTTGAGCGCCAGCATTGTGTATTTGGTGCAAGAGTCAAATGTAAATGATAGCCTAATGTAAAGCAACCAATGGGCCATGAATCTAAACAAGCTGTTCCGTACGACTGCTGAAGAGGAAAAAGGGCGTGCGCAGAGCCAGGGTAGATTACATCTTAAAGACTGTGGCAAAGTGCTTTGATTTTGATGTGATCTATTCTTCATCTGGGGTTTCCCAAGTGTAGGCAGTTGCACACAATTGAAAGAGTTACACTCTTGCTCCCCGATCTGTTCTGTGCTCAACGCTACCCCTGTTAATACCATAAAAGTAGCCCTCAATTATGTCAGCAAAGTCAGGCTCCAGTGGACCTGTGCTAGCCCCAGCACAGTCTCAGCAGGCGGTCGTAGTTGAAGTAGCGGCAAGCTCATCACCAGTCGAGGTGATATCTGCCATCGTCAGCTCAGCAGCTACTCCACCCCCGCGAACGAGCAACCCGAACCGCTGGCTGCAAATAGGGGTAAGATGCATGCGCGACCAGGCGGACCCGGATGGCGATGATGAGTTGGCATGTCACTGCCATCTTGTTAAAAAGACAACAAAGCACCTTGCAGCTCCTCACTACCTCACTTGAATCCATTCTTGGTCACGCCGCTCACAACAGTCCTGTGACATGCACGCCATGGACGGCCACACGACTGCGTTTGTTCTCGCCACAACCCTCCTATCACACCCACCACGCGCGCAGTTCTTCTTTGTGCTCGTCTTTGCCTGTATCGTCTACTTCCGCGAGGAGATCTACACCTTCACAACAGGTGCGCTGCCAACCGTGACCCAAGGCGCCCTTGGCGCCCATGCCGGGGAGGGTCATATACCATGCATGCGCTGTCCTAGCCCCCCTGCGTACCGGGGAGCTTCGGACACAGGGCCGGAATATGCCCATGTGTCGCAGACGAAAAGAGCTCATGGATTTGTGCTGGCGTTTAAATCCTGGAGCTCATGCGCGTACGACATACATGACCGCAGCCAATCAATCTGAGGTTCACGGTGCAGGGGAGATCAGCAGGCCTGGCCAGGCCTGCCCTGGCCAGGGCAGGGCAGAGCAGAGCAGAGCATTCATGTTGCGTTGTGCGGGCAAAGCTGCAGGTTGCTATATCCTGTCCCCTGCGCACCTGCAGGGTCTATTGGCCAGTTTTAAGCTATTTCCACGGCCCTTTACCTCTTGCAGCACGCCAGGTGGCTTCTTATGGGGCAGCAGCAGCAGCAGCAGCTACCGTGTTTTGAGCTTTTCTTGCTTGCCATGCTTTGTCATCATATCATGCATGTTTTGGAGTAATGATTGGACCCCGCGTCGTAAGGGGGGCCGGATTAAATTAAATTGTGCTGGGCACCTGTCCTGGCCACCTGTCCTGGGCACCTGTGCCCCCGGGCTCCGGGGCTGCACCCAGTGGCCAGAGCAGGCAATGGAAGGGGGGGCGCCCTGCGATTTCCTCCCCATGTTTACTGTCCCGCTGTATCCTGCTGCTGTGCTGCGCCCTCTCCTCTCCTCTTCAGACATTCACAAGTACCCTATCTTGTCGGTGGTGGAGGCGCTCCAAGTGCGCAAGTACCTAGGATCTGGGTGGACCTTCGGAACAGGGCAGGACGCCGTTACCGCGATTGGCGACGAAAAGAGCCTGGAACTGCTCTCATCCAACATGACGTTAATGCCTCTCACCAGCTCCCCGACGGATATCGCGCATTGACGGCGCGTTGACATAGTGCGAGCGGGAGCAATCAGAGCTAGTCACTGGGAGGAATGACTGGAGGGGCGGGGCTCGTTCAGGTTGGACGATGTTTTGAGAGGCGTGTGCGGGGGGGGGAAAGAGGATTGGAGAGGCGTGTGAGGGGGGGGGAAAGCGGATTGGAGAGGCGTGTGAGGGGGGGGGAACGAGGATTGGAGAGGCGTGTGAGGTGTATTGTGCTCATCGTGTCGGCGTCGCGTGACGGCGCGGGATAAGGGGTTTTGGGGGGAAACGGCGGGTACAGGGTTTTAACCAGGCGGACTAAACCAAAGGGACATGCAACCCGACTGGCCAGGCCGACGCCCTGCGGAGATCCCATGGACAGGGAAGGCGGTGGGATGAGGGGAAAGATTGTCCGTATGCTGGGGGCCATGGTGACATCGACCAGTGAAGCAATCGTGTCTTCCTGCTCGGGGAGGAGGACCCTGGGGCCCCATGAGGCGTCCCAGCGCCCCAACCGCTGGGCGGAAATGGAGCGCCGGGGGTTCAGGGGCCAAAGCCCCTGGGGGACTAGGCGCTCAGCTACCGCCAAGCTGGGCAGGGCGGGACCTCATCCTGCCTGATTACCTGCGTTGAACAAGTAATAGCTGCACAGGTGGAGGGGCTGTACGCGGTTAGAGTGAGTGCTGTGGCTGGGCTGAGCTGGGCTGGGCTGGGCATGGTGGGGGGAAGATACGAACGGAGGGTGCCCGCGGGAGCCGGCCGATCATCCGCTCTGGACTCGGGCCCTTGGCTCGCTGGGCTGTTAGGGTTAATGCAGGCGAGACGGCGTACTGCTGAGGAAGATCAGATACGTTGTGCGTTTTGTTTGTTGAGGAGTTGGGAGGCATTCGGTTCGGAATGTTGGTTGTGGACTGTGGGCCCTCAGGTGGTGTCCGGGTGGTGGGGTGGGGGTTTGGGGGTAAAGTAGACAGGTTGCAGACGCGCGCAAGCTGCCTTTTTTTGTTGCAGGCGGACTTTCATTTCTCCGGGTGTGATGTGGATGAAAGTACTTGGTGGGAGCTTTTGTAGGACTTGCGTGTAAAAGTCCCGAACGCCAAAACTATTGCGAGAGGTGCGGCTCGTTCCGCAGCATCAAGGGTTTTCGGGAGTTTACCTGACGATGTTTACATAGGCTGCCAAAAAAAGGATGGCTTGTAGTGTCATATGTGCCTTGCTTGCTGGCCATCAGGGGCCGCGCGATTTTACCGCGAGTTGTCGTCGTCAGCGAGAATCGAACGATTGATAAAAAATTGTAAAATAAAACACGTGAAAATGATCTATCACCGGACCGAGCGACAGCGCCCTGCCACCTGCTTCGGTCGTTTTGATTTCATGTTTGGATCGCTTGTTATGCTCGGGCCCAAAAGCACTATGACGGAAGGTTCAGGTTCGGAAGGGCATGTTTAAAATTTCTAAAACCTGGGTGTTCTTTTCCATAAAGCGTCAGCAGTTCACAAGTACGAGCGCGTTGTGGGCGCCTAGTAAGCAGTAGCCCTTCGGCATATCAGTGATGAGGTGTTGTCAAGTCGGCTTGGGGCTGCAGTCTGGCAGAATGTTGTCCTTTCTTATGAAGCATAAGCACGGCACATCAACACGCCGAAACATGCTGACGGCCGCAAAATATAGTGATGGCCTCTTCAGCAGCGCCACATTCTCGGGAACGTGTAAGATGACATAAAAGGCATCAGCATTTGGCAGTTTTCGGCTGATGTGCACTTCCGTATCTCGCATATTGTTTACAAGGAGTCCCGCATCGCTATGGTTTTCCGCTTCCCTGCAAAACAGTGGACAAATAACCTCCTTAATTGAGACGAATGGAAAATAAAAGAGGCTCTAGGGGTAGAGCTGTTCGCCAATATGGGTATGCTCATTTTGAACGGGCTGGACAATGGAGATTGGGATGATGACCGAACAATGCGAGAAATACACATAGTCGATCCTCTGTTGTAGGTAAAATGCACACAAATTTAATTTCCTAGCTCGGATGCGCAATGGCAAGCAGTAGTGAACCCCTACTGTGGCGGCAGCTGGGAACCCGTGGGATTCGTACTAAAGAAAGTGTGACCACGGTGCCGATACAGTCTACAATGGTGTCCAGTTGAGTGCTAGTTTTTAGCTCCTTCCTTGTTGTCGTGCACCTGCAAATCAACTACAAGTGCTCAACATGGCAAATACAGAGAAGTTCGAGTAGTCGTGTGCGGTTAGTATTCCTGGCTACTTTGAGCACAGAATGAGCATTCGTCGTAAAAATTAGGAGTTTAAGCTATAGCTACGTTTTCCCAGAAGTTAAGAGGTTTTAAATAGGGTAGTGGCCTAGTTAACCTTGGACTTTACTTTCGTGGCCGGTTCCATTTTGCACGTTGACAGTGGACGGGGACCAATATTGTTTCTTGGCTCTAATGTAGAAGTAATGCATGATGGTTCGAATGCTGGCCTTTACCAGCGGCAGAAGGAAGTTGGATGTCTACGAACTTACAGCCTCCACCGCCCGAGGGTTACGCTTTATGGATTTATTGCCTATTATTGTTTAACAACATTATTGGAAGGAGGTGAGTCGAGCAGCTGCGATCCGCAGCCCTTCGCTCCATGACAGTGCGACAGGCCACCTTGGGCGTGAAGTGCACAGAAGGTTAAACGACATCTAGTATCTAAAGTATTCTTCCTATGGCTATTTTGCATCTCATTTTTGCCCACGGCTAGGGTACGGAGCCCAAGGGTTGAGATACCGGTATGCCATCCAGTTTCAGGACACCCCTGATGGAAGGTATCGATACGAGCTCCACTGGATGGCTTCAACTTTTACGGGGGCGATGGCAACCTGCCAAAGCCGCGGGCAGGGCCGAGGCATCCTGACGCCGCTGTCATCCATCGACGAAATCGAACTTGTGTCGACTTTACTAGCCGAGGGCTGCTGCTCTGGACCTCAATGGGATGACGAGTACGTCCTTCAATGAATTCCCTATGCATGTCGTCAAAGATTCGTCGCTCAGTGCAGGATTACATGATTCCCGCAGGTTTTTTTCCGTTGGACTAACGACCCTCGTCAACCGCCACTCTCTGGGCTTCCTGGACCGGCCCCGCCCCGGTAGCAGCACGGCTCTCCTCCGCGAGTTGGCTATCCCAGGCGTGGGCTACGTTAACGGGTCATGGCCGGACGCCCCCTCATTAGCAACTGCTTCTAATGCTGCGTCGGCCTCAGCAGCTGCTGGAACGGAAGACCAGACAAACGACACCCTATCCACCCCGCTCTGCGCTACTGTACGGGTGGTTCTCCTGCCGCCGCCGCCTTCGCCGCCACCGCTTCTGCCGCCAGCAACAAGTGACGCTGCCGACGCGGTCGCTTCCCTCACCACTGGCCCTACACTACAAGCAGTAGCCGCATGTGACATCAGCAGCGCCGCACGAAACCTTACCTGCAGCAGCAGCCGTAGCAGCAACAACAACAACAACATCGGGAATAGCAGCAGCAATAACAACAGCAAAAACACAACAACGAAAACAGCATACCAGCTGGAGGTCAATTTCCAGGCCTGTGATGAAGGACCCACGGGTCAGGGCGGCGGAAACGACGGTGCTGTAGCTCACGCCTTTGTTTGTCGCGTCCCGGCACCCGCTAGACCGTCTCCAGCCCCATCACCATCGCCATCACCATCACCACCGCAATCCGCTCCGCCGCCGCCGCCACCTACAGCCAAGTCTCTGACAAGGCCGGCGTCGGAGCATCCGCCGGAACACCCTCCACCGCAGCTGCCGCTACCAGGCCTCTCCAACATCAACCCCAAGACACACACCACAGAAACGGCGCCTTCGGAGCCCCCACTGCCCCCACTGGGCCCAGGTCCTGAAAACACTTCCTCATCGCCGCCAGCGCGAGCGCGCCGCCGAACCATCCTGGCGGCGTCATGGGGGCCCCGCGGAAGCAGCCACACGGCCGGAAGCCGTCGCCGGGCTTTGTCGATTCTCACGGGCTCACTGGGAGTGACCACCGTGACGCTGGACGGGACGTCGGTAACGCCACCACCGGTACCGCTGCGGTCAGAAGGTTTCCCGCGTCCTGCTTTCCCTCCGCCGTCACCGCTACCACCATCGCCTTCACCGCCTCTTCCGCCGCCGCCGAGGGGTCCCTCGCCTCCGTCGCCGCCATGGGGAACCGCCGAGAGCGCAATTAACACAAGTACGGCTTTGTCAGCAGAGCTTGTAAGACCCAAATGTAAGTGGTTACTGGGGATGCGCAACCTGCCCTATGTTTTTTATGCCTTTCTTGCAGCTTTATTAAGGTTCATTACGTGCATAAAAACCATATCACCGCGCATATCGCTTGATCCCTCCTCCGCACCGATGGTGTCATCTTCCTGTAATCGTCAAATCGGCAAACATTGCCACTTAACAGCGCAAAGAGAATACTTTATTTGGCAAAGCTGCTCGTGTGGCCTCCGCAGCACTGCCCTCCCGCCGCTCAGCCCATTACAACCCAGGCACGAATGCATGTTTGTTAATACGGGCAGGATATGGCCCCTACCCACCCATCCACCACCCACCCACCTACCTAGACCTGCATGCTGCTGTCCAGATGCGATGAATGCGACATCCCAATTTAGCCTTTTCCTCCCCATCGTTTTGCTTTCCTCAAGGCAGGCAGCACACCACTAACACTAACATCTAGATCGCGTTCTCTTTACACAGGCGATTCGGAAGTGCTCACTGTTGGCGGCGTCACGCTGCGCTACCTGGCCTGCCACACCGCGGCAAGTTGGGCGGTATCGGCGGAGCTGTGTGCGGACTTGGCGCCGCGGGGCACCCTCGCCGCCTTTGAATCCCAGGTAGGGAGAATGATCAGCAGGTCGGAGGGACTTTAGAAGGATAGGAGTCGGATAAGGAACAGGGATAGGAGGAGCATTTGGGAGCTGTGTGGGCGGTGTGGGCCCACTGGTGCCGCTGTGTGGGCGATTTTTATGTATTTTCCCTTGATCGCACTGTGTAAGTGCAGACCTTGCCACTCCCCAGGAGTTACAAGTTATACAGGTTCCGCACGAATCCGGGGTTGTCGTCAAAGCCAGGGGGCCATGGACTAGTATATAGATATACATTTAAAGATGTGGAGTTGAACTAGGGCCCCTGCGGCCCCACTTTATCCAGCCATCCTAAATAGCTTTTCATTGCCCGTTCATCTCTCGTGCTCCCCCCGCCCCTCACGTATCCTCCTCCGTCGTACCCGCCACCGCAGGCACAACTAGACGCCGTGTCCAGAGCCTTTGGCGCCAAGGACCTCGGCGGAATGTACGACTTTTGGTTTGGCTTGGCATCGGGCGTCGTGAGCCCCCCGGAGCAGCAACCCGCGAGCCCGAGTCCAGAGGGCGGTAAACCGCCTCTGGAGTACGTCCTGACTGACCCACGGGTCGTGCCCGATTTTCCGGCGCGGCTCTGGGCTAGCGGTGCGCTTGGTGTGGACAGCACCTGCAGGGCGGAGCCCGACCCGCCGGAGCCGCCCGGATCGCCACCGGCTGCCCCAAGCCCTGGGGTTCCTTTAGACGTCGCGTTTGTTCAAGCGGAGTCGCCTCCGAGTGCCTCTGACACTGCTCCTCCGCGGCCATCATCACCTCAGTCGCCTAACCTCAAGCCAACCACGCCCATCGCCTTAGCCTTGCCTCGCCCCAGCGGCTGCTGCGCCAGCCTCACCATCTTGCCAGCCGCCGCCGACCCTGCCATTGCTGCCAACACCACCACCGTGACCGTCCCGGGCGCAGCTGCTGCTGCTGCTGCTGCAGGCTACAGCACACCTGCACCCCCGGGTGACGCCGGCCCGCTACTGCTGCTACGCGCCTGCCACCACAAGATCAAGTTTGTGTGCCAGGTGCCGGTGGAAGCGACCGGCATAGAGGTTTCCCCGGGGCCTCTCGGGTCGGCCACGGGCGGCGGCGCAACCACGTTGATCGCTAGCCTCTTTCTGGACGCTGTGGAGCCCAGTTACAAGGGAGCATACCGAGTGTTTCGAGCCCAAGTGGAGTTGCGGCTTGTCGGAGCGTCGTACAGTCGGTTTTCTGGGGATGGCGGAGGAGCCCTCCTGGAAGACTTTCGAAACGAGTAAGTGGGTTTTAGTGACACCACCTCGTTCCCCTCTCCAGTTCTGCTTTAGCGAATTTGCTCCGCAAAAGGCACACACGAGCTCTCTATGATTTAATTGAAACGCGCAAAACCTTTTAAAACGCACTAAATCTTACTAAAACCCCAACTAAAACCGGACACAAAACCCGCTACAAAAACGTGGCAACCCCTCCCACCGCAGGACTGAGCGCCAGCTGGCCCTGGCCACGCGACTACCCGTCTGGAGCTTTGAAGTTTTAGGCCTCCGCAGCGGCTCAGTGGTGGCAGAAGTGAACCTCACAGCGCGGGGTCTGCCCAGAGCCACTCTGGCCAACTTTTCTGAGTTCGTGACTGCCTCTCTCGCGGTCAGACGGCCCCAGGAGTTGTTTAGCAACGACTTCATCCAGACCTGGACCATACAGGTGAGTCACCGCCTCACACTATAGGAATAAATTACGACGACCCTAGCAACTTTGTTACTTAGGTTGAAATAAATTGAGACCCGCCCTAAACGGAAAAAAATCGCTGCAGGTGACGCGGTTACTGCACCCACCTTGTGCGGCTACAAGGCTGGGGGAATGGGGGCCGGGGTAGGGGAATGGCATGTGCGGGATGCCACGGTGCGGTCCTGCTCTTAAACGGATGGGTGTGCGGAACCAACCAGTGCCACAGGTGGACCGCGTGCGCGATGAGAAGCACGAGCACCAGGCGAACATAGCATGAGCTCAGTTCCCGCCTTCTTCGTACAATGCATCTGCAACAGCCATGCCAACATGCCACATGTATGGGGGGAGCCCTACCGCATTAAGTGTTTGGAACAGCTTCCGGCTTCCGGTGCGCGCAGGCACGCAACGACGGCATGTGTGTGTGTGTGTGTGCAGCGGGAATGCATGCATGCACCTGTCCGCTGTATAACTCTTGTGTGCCAGAGCTGTCCTACTTCTCCCTCTATGTCCTCCCGAACCTGCCCGACTTCAAGCCGCTGCTTGATATTTAATATACGTATAAATAAAAAGCCATAAGATGATTTCCGCAGGGCTTGAACCTTGCCGACTCTTGACAAGCCTTGGAAAAAATTACAAATAGACGTGAAAGTTTTCCAATGCCCACGGCATTGCTTATTTCGCCGATGCCAGGACTGTATCGTCACTATTTTGGCGCTGTCGGAACTCAGCGAACCGCCCAGCCCGGCGAGCCCCCACCGGCACCGCAACAGCGAGCTCCTGATCACCGTTGTCGTAGTTGTGGGCGGATCTCTGATGATTGGCGCGGCGCTGGGACTGCTGCTGCTGGTTCGCCGGATCCGACGGCGACGGCAGCGACGCCGAGGGTCCACGCCAGTTTACCTCACATCACTTGGGAGCTTCAATGGCGATGACGGCGACGGCGAACACGACGAAGGCTTTTTTCTGCGCAAAGATGTGCTGTCACCGCCGCAGCCGCCGCAGCAGCAGCAGCGGCAGCAGCAGCGGTCTTTGTCGAACAACTCCCTGAACGTCTCTCGCCTCTCTGCAAACGCCGCTGCCGCCCTCGTCGCCGCCAAGTCCTTACCACAGCTGCCCTCTTTGCGTCCGTTGGCAGTAGCAGGGCCCACAAGGCCGCACCTGCAACAGCCACCGCCGCTACAACAAATCTCATCCGGCAGCCGGCAGCTTGGTAGCGGTGACGGCGGCGGAGGCAGTGGAAGAGGTGCAAGCAGGCGCGCAACGCTGTCGTTGTCTGGGAGCATTGGCACCTTACCGGACGTGGGCCTTGGAATGTCGCCAACAATTCGGGGCCGGAGCTCAGGACGGATTGCCTCTGCACATATCGACTTGTCCGGGATGCAAGTAGCGTCGCCCAAGGTGGCGGCAGCGGCAGCAGCCCCGGCTGACGGCAGTGGCTCGAACGGTCTTTTCAACGATCCGCGCATTATACCAAACGTTCCGTAAAGGCGACGGCGCTGCATCTGATGGTCTGCGAGTGCCGTTGGATTGGTCAAAGCCGCCGCCGCTGCCTTGCCGCTGCCTGACATCTGCTGCCTGACGTTCTTGATGTGGCGTTAGCGCCGGGTGCGCTTGGAGATGTGGATACGCCCGCATGCATCGGCATTCAGTCTGTGACATTGTTAATGATGACCTTTAGGATCCTTTTCTTTGAAGCCAAACAATGGACAGCCAAGGTTCCCGGCATACCTGTTTGCGCAGCTGATGCGTTTTTGTTTTGCAGCAATCTCCGCAGCAATCACCTACCTACCTACCTAACTACCTACCTAACTACCTGCCTAACTACCTAACTACCTGCCTACCTACCTACCTAACTACCTACCTAACTACCTGCCTAACTACCTACCTACCTACCTACCTAACTAACTACCTAACCCGGCTACGTTTGCGACGTCAGTTTAGTACGGACACTACGGAAGGTACGAAGATTATGGCGCACTCACAGGGGCATATGCTGGGGCCCTTCTGGTTCGGATGTTTAGAGAAGGTCCTCTTCGTGTTCGTGACTGGTCAGCAATCATCTCGTCAACGCGGGGAGCCCTACGGGGGCCGGGGGGCTCACCGCCGTGTCAGTGTATATGTTGCATGCTTGACCAGGACCAGGACTTTGCGAAGCTGGGCATTTGCTTTTTCCTAGAGCTGAGCTGCTGGGCTTGCTGCTTATGCTTCCCGCTTCCCGTTTGTTGCACCTGATAGGACCGGGACCTCCCTTTAGGACTCCTTTTTATACTGATGAAACGACGTGGTGTTGTTTTGACGTGGTACTGCCTGGTACTACTACAACGGCTGTGTGCCCCGTATCGTAGCCGCCTGCAGTAGCAGCAGCAGCAGCAGCAGCACCAGCGCTGCCTGCTTGTGTAAGGTTGATTGGCGGCCAAGACGGGCAGCATGGCCTGAACGTTGGTGTGTTATCGAGGAGGCGGCCTGGAGGACGACGACCGCTTGTATATCTTAGCCATACATTTCCGCAGCGTGCGCGGTGCGGACGTAGTGAAGGTATACGGCCATTTATGGTAGAGAAGCGTGATGGTTGCCGATCAGCGCACTCACACACACACACACACACACACGCACGTACGGTTGGTGAATATGGGAGAGAAGTGCTGCGGAACCTCGCATCGGCGGACCAGTGTTACTTTGTGACCGCTACAGGAACCTGCTACTGCTGCCGTTGCTGCTGTTGCTGCTATTGCTACTGCAAGCAAAGTGGCATCGATGATAGGACAGTTTAAATGTGTCTCGTTGATTGTCACTACTAAAGATTTTGAGGTGGACTTGCAGGGTGCGTGTTGAACTGAAAAAACAGACGCGCTACCGACGGATGATGACGTCACCTTGGATCATGTACGGACGTATGTATGCATGTATGTATGCATGTATGTATGTGCTGCCACTAATGCTGATAGGCAGTGCTGAAGCTCGTCGCATTATTTCTAATCTTTGCCGGTAAGCTATTGCTCGCGGCACTGAACGAAGGCGCAGGCCACCTGCAGCTGTATATAGCTGCGCATATTTATTACTAAGGGGCTGCTAGTTTCCACTGGGGGTGGCCACCCGGGCCATGTGGATGCAACATGTGGTTTTGTAGACCCTGTTCGGAATTTTCGCCTGCACGTGCCGCAATACACACGTTCCAATTATTTACATTTCTATCTCCCAGCTCTTAAGGGCTGCTCAGCGCTTTAAGTAGCAGCAGGTCGGGGTGCTCGAAATATTTTTGTCCTTGATTTTGCTTTACTCGATCTCCTACAGTACCTTCGGATTGTTCTGGGGTACTACTCTCAGGACGCTTGATGTGTCGTCACACATTCCGTTAAGACCGGTGTGTCCCTTCTGTCTGTCTGTCTGTCTGTCTGTCTGTCTATCTGCGCATGAATGGGATTTGGGTGCGTGGTGATGTATGTGCGATGTGTGTATGTGTGTATGTATGCTTGTGTGTATGCGTGTGTATGTGTGTGTACGTGTGTGTGTACGTGTGTGTGTACGTGTGTGTGTATGTGTGTGTGTGTGTTTCTGCGCGTATGTATGTGTGCGTTTCGTCATTCCAATCCTGCATATGCATACTTCGCAAATGTTAAGCAAAGGGCTGTGCTTTGTCGGTTGGCCTCAAAACGCATATATAGCCCTGCATCTACGCGTGTAGATATACAGATTTACATTTGTGAATTAAAGTAATATTGACAGCATAGCCTGCGATTTTCAATGTCGTTCGTTGATAAAGTAAGGGCGGGACGGTCGTTGTTCTTGTCACCGTTCGTAGACCCTAATAGCTAATGACGGAGTTTTTGTAGCGACATGCTGCTCGCACAAGTTGTCACGACTGTATTACCATCGGCGCATCTCCACCAAAGGAGCCGAGCCGAGCGAGGCAAAACCGCCCTCCGACCGGAACTGTCAACTGGTAAGAGTTCGCACTTTCTGCGCTGTATCTGTCTGAGAGAGGGCCGCACGGGGGGAGCACAAAGGATGGTAAGGATGCATAATGGTCTGATCAAGGGGGAAGGGAGGGAAGGGAGGGAAGGGAGGGAAGGGAGGGAAGGGAGGGAGAAAAGGTGTTGGTGTATTCTGCCGCAAGAGGGGGAAACAGAGGAAACGGCGCATCCATCTCACCAAACACGACACCGGTGTTTCTGGTTGTAATGGCGGCAGTGGGGTTATAAGTTGTGGCGATTGTTTGTACGCACAACAGACACAACGGGCATAGCAGACACAACGGGCGCGTACGTGTGCGGTGACTTGTCAAGTGCAAGATGTAAACAGGCATTCAGGAAATGCATTTTCCTGGCAGTGATGAATCTGGTGTGCAGTACGTTGGCTGTACAGGAAAGATGGAGTATGCAAACCGATGAGGAGTTGTGGTGCGGTGGCCAGCAAAAGTGTGTTTAGGAGATAATTTTTTGGGGAATTGTTTTTACAAGAGCCACCTCGGTGGCTACTGGAGGGTTTTCCTTCAGAGCCACCTTCTGATGTGTTTTTGAATGAATGTCTGAGAAGGACGCACCACACGTACTCGTTTAAGGTTGAACATGCTTTCCAGTTTAGCACACAGTTTAGGGTGCCCCTCTAGAAGGGGAGAGCAGGGAATTGCCTCGGGAAGGAGGCCACTGGTGAAGCTTAACCACCCTGTAAGGAGAAGGAACACAAAGCCACCAGATTCATCACAGTGGGCCCACCACCACATCCACCTCAAGGCGCCACCAGCCGCCCCCACCACAGGGCCACAGGCCGCACCACAACATCCAGGATTATCCGCATTATATTCACGATCGTGTGTGGTGTGCATCCCAACCATGGCAACGCGCGCAGCCTTCATCTAACCACAACGCACAAGCCAATGAGCTCTTCACAGCAGGCTCCATCCCGGGGGGTTCCCCCCCCTGCGGTGTTGCGTATTATTGTTGCGCCAGTGCTTGAGGGCCAGCGCATACGGAAAAGTGCTGACCGTGAACCGCGGCTGAGTCTTCAGGTGCACACACACACACGCAGTGAGGTGCTCCTTCTGAAGGCGGTTCCGCTGCTTGTCTCTTATAGTAGTTACTTAGTTCATGGTCGAGAACACGCGCTCTGCCTCCAATGAGTCTGGCACACGATGGTAGCGCACGGCCAGCCGCGCGCTAGCCGTGCGCGCTCTCCCAGACAGTCGCGCAAGTAGGGTGGAAAAGTGCGCGTCATGGCCTGCCATGAAGGCCGTGAAGGAGCCATGTTTTTGAGCTGCACGCCCGACGTTTCTGCACGCCCCAAGATCTCCGTCACAGTCCTACCAACCCCAGCGGTATGTGTGCAGGTCAGTCGGTGTGACGGTCAAGTGCGTGATCCCTTTAAATTATTTGAGGCAACGAACGTCGTTAGTCCTGCGTCCTCCAGCCGTCCACAACGGACCAGGCGCCGAAGGATGGATGTTCCTGGAGGGTGGCTACTGCTGCGTGAAGCTCTGCGTGAGTTTCTATGAAGCCCCTTGGCTCCTGACGTCGAATCGGGGTTTAGGTCTGCCGGAACCGGAACCACCCATATTTTGCGAATTACTGTTCTGAGAGGCGGAGGGGCCACAGGAGCCGTTTTCCGAAACACTGGAACTTCTCCATGCCTGGAGCTTCCAAAACAACGACGACGCTTTGTGTGCGTGTGTGTGTGTGTGTGTGTGTGTGTGGTTGTTACAGTAGGCTCTCCAGACTCGTGAAGAGCAGAGCCAGCAGGGCCACCAGCTGTGGCCGTGCATGATTACTGCTCCTGAGACGAACAGTCGACGACATGTTGCTGTGTATTTTTATGTTTCACACTTACATGTGTGTGTAGTTATTAAGACATCATGCGTCAATGCCATCTTTTGGTGCATCATGATTACCTGAGTCACGTACGGGAGGTTTTTTTTTGTGGTACGGCAAATGATGGTAAAAAATGAAGGGCTGGTTTTTTTCCACTTGGGCAGCACAGGCCGCCTGGCGCGGCCGCGCCTGCCAGCCAGTCAGCCAGTTAGCTGCCGTCAGGCTTGATAATAATGACAGAGAGAGGGAGGGCATTTTTGAGGTAGCATTCGACATTTACGTCGCATGCGGCGTGTAATAACATTTTACTAAAGAGTTCTCTCCAGATAGCAGATGGAAGGTTACAGTTTGTGACGACTAGGTTGACCAAAGGTTGACCATCAATAAAAAAGTTGGCGATAAGACGGCGGCAAGGCCTGTGGGGATTAGCGTATTAAGGACGACATCGGACTGGTTATGACTTGTTTGTGTTGCAGCGCGCATGTTGAGCCGCGCCCTCTTGCTGCCGACCTGGACCAGCATATAGACCAGCCCAGCCTAGGAGTAGTTATTACAACGGATCATGCGCAACGTCTTAACGAAAACCCCAACTAGTTTACCATGTACTAGTTTACCAAAGAGGCCGCTGCTGGTGGAGCAACAGCGGTATGTTGTGGACAATGACAATCGCTAGGATATATGGTGTAGACGACGTTGGTGCCTTCAACTGCCCAACCACAAGAGGGTCACCCCCCTCACATTCTACTGGCCAGCGAGGCCTTGTGGCACCCCCCCCGCGCATCTTAAGTTGCTGGACTTTGCATATGTGCGCGCGCAGGGACACCAGCCGCTCTTCCCGGATTTATATTCTTGCTTGCATACAGTAATCCTGCTCCTGCTTGCATACAGTAATATTCAAAACAATTGTCCCAAGCCGGAAAACATTATATATACGTCAATAATTCTCCTCTGGCTAGGAGTACGAAAGTACGGAGGTACGGAATTGTCGTGCAACTTTTCCCTCCCCTACTCTCCCCCTTTTGCCAGCCTCCCTGGCGTCCGCCGCCCCCCAACTTTGCGCTCATCTTTTTTTTATTTTTGACCCACATCTGCACATCTGGAACGACCACATCGTCGAGGCGCAATTGCATGCCGCTGAGTCCAAATGCTAAAAGCTCAATCGGCGCGCACGGCATGTCCGCGCACACCCACACAGCAGCTACCTGCACTCCCCCCCAGGCACATTCCAGGTACAACTTCTGCCGCCTCTCCTGCTTTTCTAAGAAGATCTGAAAGGATCTGAAAAGAGTGAAAGCTACTGCTGGGGCTGAATCACCCGTGATGAGAGGTGAGAAACCAGGAGGAAAACATTTCCCTAAATCACACAGCGTGCAGCAGGACAGAGCCATAACCGATTAAAATGACAAAACAATCAAAACAACAGCCACAACACGTTACCGGTGTGCTTGCTTGACTTTGCTTCCTTCGCTTTTCCTGACCTCCGTCGCAAAATTTATGACGCAAAAAACTCCATTTCCATCATCTTCTTCTCCTGTGGTCAGCTTCTTCTATCCAACCTGACACCACCCCCCTTTGGGATCCCTCTCACATGTTGCCCGGCCTGTCTCCCAGCATCATCTTATGGTCTCCCACACGTACTTCAATCGCAAGCAGCACAGAAATGGTAACTACATACAGCGTCACGCTGATGATGCAACACCATTTGTCGACGCGCGCCGCCACAAAGGACGCGAACACGGGGTCTTCCTTGCACTGCTGATACAGGTGTCGCGGCGCCGTGACCACCCCCCCTATCCAGCCCCGCAACGCCGCCGCCACCGCACCCGCGGATCGCCACAATCCCAGCGCTCGACAGCGCTGAAGCATGGCCGTGCAGCTGGCGCGCGCGTTCGCGAACATGACAGACGCACGGCTGCCGCTACCGACGGAACGCGCATCCGCGGTGGTGCTGGGGGCGGCGGCGCCGCCGCCATTGACAGGCGGCAGGCAGATGTCATCATGGGTGACGGCAAATGACGTATGGGTGCGTGCGGAAGCGAAGGGTGACATGGCATGCGTCGGCGGTGGCGGTGGCGGCGCGTCGGCGGGGTTGTTGTCGTCGTCAGCGTCGCCGTACATGCTGACGGAAACGCTACCGGTGCGATGCCGGGGAATGACGCTGGCGGCGGCGGTGACGGCGGCTGTAGCAGCGGCGGTTCCGGAGCTGCGGACGAGGCTTGCCTCCGCTGGCGTTGGTGCGGGTGTCGTTGAGGGCGTGGTTGGTGGCGTAGGTGGGCGCAGTGCGGGTATTGGAGTTCCCTGGGGCAGGGGGTGTTGTAATCGTGTGGCTAGCAGCGGGAAGGCTGGCTGGGTGAACTGGGGTGTTGGGGCGGGCGCCGGTGGTAGGTAGCGCAGGAGGGGGCTCGTTGGGTGAAAGCAGGACAGCTGGGGTACGCAGGAGTTAGGACCAAAGACAGTCAGACAGTCAAACAGACAGACAGACAGACAGACAGACAGACAGACAGTCTAACAGACAGGCAGGCAAAGGGGTTGTTAAACGGTCCGGCAAAGGAGAAGTCCAGATCTGCCTCCCGGGGGAGAAGAGAGGATATCTCCAACCACCCCATCTCCAATCTCCGCACTGCCCCGCCCCCACCGACCCCACCGATCCAGGTGGGGGTCTGGCCCCCTCCACCTCCCCCCTCCACCTCCCCCCAACATCTTCTGCCCATTTCTTTCCTTCCCCCCCTCACCTCCCGCTCACCTGCGGCGCGACGAGGGCTGAATCCTCCCTACGGCAACTCACAGCGGGTCCAGTTACAACCCCACCCCACATCCCCACCCCCGCCGCCGCCGCCGTCGTACTCGTCGCCGAACTCCTCGCTGTCGACGTCGCCACGCCACGGCTGTTTTGAAACCTGACGCCAGGTCGCGCCGTCGTCCACGGCGCCGTGCGCCCCTGGCCGCCGCGAGGACCAAGGTTACCGGCGGCGGCGGCGCCGCCGCCGCCGCCGCCGTAGTGTTTGCCGCCATTGCCGGCGGCGCCTGGGCCTGGGGCGTGTTGTGTGAGGTGGTGGGTGAAGGAGTGGGCGCGGCGGCCTCCTGGCGGGAATAACTCCTTGGCGAGGTAGCGCTGGAAGGCCCCCCTGGACTCGAGCAGGGCAACAGGACAACAGGGCGGTGATGCCGTTGAGCGTTACCTTGTCGTTTTCCTCCTCTTACTACTACTACTACTCCCCCAATTTTCAACCTCCTAACAGCCGTCAATCCTATCTCCTATCTTGCCCTCCACTTGGGTATGAGAGAGACATACAGACATACAGACACCAGCAAATAATACAGGATCCCCACGTACTTGAGAGTCTGTCACTGATGACATTCGTTGTTGCGGTGTTGACATACAGACATACACTTCCGCGGATAGAGTTTTATACCTGTGCTTGTTTTTCATCCCTTTACCCTCTCCCCTCCGTTCCGGGTTTTGATGCCACTCTGCGGCTCTGGCACATCTCTTTGAAAAACACTTGACGAGAGGTTTTCTCTCTCTCTCCGCACACATTATTATTCCTCATTTCAACAAAACCCTCTCCCGGCGGTTAACCTTTGCTCTTTTATCAGCGCCGTACCTGGCTAGAAGGGTGTCGTACTTCCGTACACAGGTCCTCTTGGTGCCCAAGAACTCCGAAACCGTGGCGATTCGATTCACAATGAGGCTCTCAATGCAGGCCAGCGCAATCATGATGTAGCTCACCAGAACCACCTGCGCCAAGATTATAATTTTATAATAATTTTTAAAAATATAGTTACTTTCAATTTTATATACTAAAGAACTCAAATTATAAATAAAGTGATTTTGCAAGCAGCAATGTTTGGGACTGGAAGGATTTTGAGCCGCAGGAACCCACCATCTGAAGCGCGTTGATGTAGTTGGCCGGCGGGAAGTCAAACACGAATTGCATGGCAGTCAGGGACAGGAACATCGTCAGCACGACACCTGAGGAGGGGGGACCGGCCCGGCCAGGGAACCGACAAAGCAGCCAACAACAGAGGCAGGGTTACAGCGGTCGCAGCGGCAACAGGGAGGGGACCGGGCGGGGCCCAACAGCACATCAGCAATTCCGGCCACCGGACAGCTGAAAGGCAGACAGACAGACAGAGCGTTACGAAGGGTCAACAAAAAAAGGCATCATGGCATGTAGAACCAGGACAAGCTGGCGAACGAACGAAGTAGTACGCCCCAATACGGCCCAAAACCCAATAACAAGTTTACACGTTTACTACAAGTTTTCAAGCTCCACGCACAAGTGTGGGGGTGTCCGTAAAAGCCGGGGAGCCCATGGACGGTAAATCGTTTTTAGTACGGTTACGTGGTGGACCATATAATAACAATAACGGAGCGCTAGAGCCCCGAAGATACGGCACCCGTCCAGTCCGCGATGCGAGGGAAGGCGACATAACTCGTTTTTTTGTACATCGTACGGCTGTTCCTCCTCTGGTCACACGAACAGTGAAAACGCCCCAGCAGCAGACACAGCCCGAAAACAACAGCAGGTGTGCTTGGTGGTTGGCGGTTAGTGAACGTTGGCGGTTAGTGGTTCCCCTCGGAGAAGGTACGAGACCGGAAATCCTTTTCCTGGGGAAAATACTTTGGCGGAAAGGCTATGATTAGTTGAGGGGGGTTGTTCAAAGTCGGGGGGGGGGTCGAAACGTTGGAGGAGGTGGGAAAGGCGCGGGGGAGAGATGGCCGGGTAATACCGGGCATGATGTGGTGCTGCGAGTTACTACTACGGGGTTTGACTGTGGGGGTTTGACTGTGGGGGTTTGACTGTGGGGGGTTTGACTGTGGGGGTTTGACTGTGGGGGTTTGACTGTGGGGGTTTGACTGTGGGGGTTTGACTGTGGGGGTTTGACTGTGGGGGTTTGACTGTGGGGGTTTGACTGTGGGGGTTGAGGGTTTTATGCCGCTGGGGCTATGTTGCGCCTTACCACACCTTCACACCTTCTACTACTCCTTCACTCCTTCGCCCGCTTGCTCATTCGGGTCCCCCCCTTTGCCCACACGCACCCATCCGATCTCCCAGCTCGTTTTGCGGCATGAAGAACACCACAAAGGCGACTAGGGTGATGAGCAGGATCGGAATGAGGTTGGTCAGAACGTAGTAGGATGACACACGCTTGATCTGTAGGTGGAGGGGACAGGCGGAGGATCCGGAGATTCGGAAGAAGGGTGAGAGATGGAAAGACGAACCACGAACGAGTGAAGAGGGAGAGGGGGAGAGAACGGCAGTAAGCAGTGTGCGCGGTCACCACAGGTATCGGCACAGGTACAGCGGTGCAGCATTGAGACCCTAAGTCCTCGTTGCCTAGTCAGGAACAGTCCAGACGCGTTTGTAGGTTTCCTAAACAGGCTCATGTAGTCGCCTTTATTTCTTCCCCCTTCTCGGCCCCCCCCCAAAAAAAAACGTGCCATGATGTCAGCCACAAGTACGGCAGGCCCGTAAAGGGCGCGGGACTCGTCGTACTTCTTGAAAAACCCGCAATGCGGCGGCTTGGTGGTACCCCGCGCGGTGTTGTTGGAGAAGTAGCGGTCGTGTACGGCAATGGCCTGGTAGTCTGCAACCTGCTGGTTGGTGCCTTTGCCAGATGCGCTGCCAGATGCGTTGCTTAAGGGCGCTGTGGACGACATATCGTACCTACGACATATTGTACGGCAATCAAGCATGTAACCACAATCTATAGAAGAAATCTGTCACAAGCACAGGTAAGGAAAACCTTAAGGTGTCTCTAAGGCTTCTGAGCTCAGCTTGGCAGCCCGTTTTCGGAATCCCAGAAACGAGTGCAGGTGCAGGTAAATGTAATTTTAAAAACGTTGAGCAGGAGGCGGACGAGGAGGAGGAGCGGAAAAATGAAATGATAACGACTTAGCAAATTTCCCACACTCGCCCGGTGGCTCCGCGCAAAGAATACCCTTGCCTAGGTGTGTCATTGACCCCCCCCACGCCCCACCCCACACACACACCCTCTCCCCCCCAAAACCCAACACACACACACCCTCC